GGAGGGGGGGAGGAAAAAACAATAACAGACGGGGCAGCGGGGAGGGACTTTGGCCTACTAAGTAGAAACTAATGCCTAGTGGGCTTCTCAGCCTGCAGTGACACTGTTTAGCTTCTACTGACGATCTGAAAATGCGGTGAGCGTCTTGTTGTTCCTACCAGGTCTTGCTTTGTTGGACTTTTGATCCAATAGGGTCTCTATCCTAGGTTTTTTTCCTTTCTTTTCTGGAGGATGAGGGTGAACCAGGTTACAGAGGAGACCATTGGAGACAAGGAGTCGATCGTCCGACTGCCAATGATGTGGGCTTCAATGGCTTCAATAGCTTCACCGGGTCCCACTGCATGGTGGCTGCAGACGGATGCTCCTATTTGAGAACACCAACGTTAAGGCATATGCTATGCCTGTCTATGCCTGTCTATGCCTGTCTATAGCTGTCTATGTAGGATGTCTGCGTCTGTAAGTATGTCTAGCATTAACTAGCATATATTTAACTGGCATCTGTATGACATTATTGTCTATCTGAAGAATTGCAGATATCAAGATGGTTTTGATTTTTCCTTTTTGGGTCTGTGCATCATATGATAGTCGGGACTGTACAGCGTAGAGTCATAACCAGACCTTCTCTCAATACTATCATAGATTATAAACCTAAATCAAATAATAATTATATGTCAGACAAAATAAATTCACCTCTAACGAATAGTGTTCTATCAGAATTCTATTTCCTATGTGGATGCCACGTAGTATTGCCATGTCATCCGTAGATTGTGCCTGACATGCCTCACCAGGTCTGCCTGACATTAGTCTATGCCTTTGATTATCCATTGATAGCTCTCCACGTCAATTAAAGAATTGATCCCTGCATTCTGAATAGTAGGTACTAGATAAGTACTCTGATTAGACCGTCTGGTGTATTGGTAATTATATAAATTCGAGATTCTCGTGTTATGAGATGAGTCATGGATGGTCTCTACCTAAACCACCACCACTACCCTATGTAGAGTATCAGTCTCACTCGTATAGCGACTCTGTCAACTATCATTCAACGCCATATTATAACAAATTCTGTCGAATCGTCGGGGAAGAAAAAGAATCACCGCTGAGACAAATAGGTAATCAGCGCGTCGTGGTGTAGTGCTTTCCGCCGCTCCTCGTCTAGTTTCTTCTTCTCTCGATTCTGACGTGACTCTGGCTTCTTTTGGACATCCTCGTTTCGGAGGGTGGTGGCTGTCGAGTTGACACTGAGCATGGATGCGTTGTCACGGAGGGTTTCAAAAGACCGAGGCATTGTAGGGTACGGATATAGTAAACATATAGAATCAAGAGGAGGGTGTATAGAGAGCTTATTAGGTACCTAGGTAAAGAGAATAGGCTTCAAGAATATATTTATACCTTTGCCAAGCGTCAGCTTCGGTTGAGTCACTCGTTTAATTGTACCTAGGTAGAGAAACCTTCCATGACCAATTCAGGCATCAGCAATTCGAAGATATCCAAAGATGTCCTCCATTTGTCAGCAATGAATTCCTCGGTGACGGCCCTTCGAGTATGGTAATATATTGCAGGCATCAGTGCGTTCTCTGAGGGTCATAGCTTGTAGTTTATAGCAACGACTATCCACCACTGTATCAATATAGGACGAAAAGTAGTGGTTGATGTAATATTGACATGTAATGTCTTCAAACATATATATCATAAGTCCTTGATGGCTCTCGCCTCAACATGCTGATGAAGAGGGAGGTTTTGGTTGTTGACCAGAGGGATTCTTTCCTGGGTGTCAGCGCTGTCGAGCAGGCATCAATCACCAGCTGTTGCTCATTGGTCCAAACCGAAAACTACCTGCCTGCCTAATCAGGCTAGCACAGGTCATGTGATACATGCTTATTCATATATCACATGACCGTATAAACCAAACTAACCGTATTAGACTAGCGGCTTGGCACATCGCGAGTTTTTGGAGCTGAGCGACTCCCGTCCGTGTCGCGACCGTCCGCTCTATCAAAGGCGCCGCCACTTGGTGACTGTTCCCCATTGCTGTCGCTTCGACCGGTGCTTGTCGCGTCTTGTCACGAGTGAGTCTCGTGTGTGACAGCTCAATTCAGGATCCTTGTGTGTGTACATTCAGGTCTCTGCCTTGCCACTCTCCTCTGCTCTTTCGTTCCCTTGCTTGGCAAGGAGCTCCGCTGTGCTTTGTTCCCCCGGCGCGACAATTCGGATTTCTAAATCCTCTACAAACAAACGCTAGATATCTGTGACCAGTTCCGTCCTCATAATGGATGACGACTCTGCTATTCAGAACGGTGGTGGTGTGGAGGATGTTCAGACTACGGCCGCGGGCCAGGATGCTCCTGCGGATGAGACGCGCGCCTCAAGCCATGCTTCCGGTCGGTTCTTTCATGAACCTGCTCCATCGGTTCCGCTGGACTAATGTTTACTAGATGCTCCCGGCTCACCGAAACTCCTAGACGACGATGGTGAAGATGAAGAGATGGGCGGGACAGACACGGTCCCCAAGACTGAAGGCGCTGCCGGTGACGAAGGCGCCGAGGTTGATGTTGGCGCGGTGCCACAGGCTTCAGAGGACGCCGGTGACGAGCAACCAGCTCACGCCAAGGCATCCCTCGAGGCCTCCGCCCGCTCGCATCTCGTTGCGCAGACCCATGCCATCATCCTTCCCAGCTACTCTACTTGGTTCGACATGCACACCGTCCACCCCATCGAGAAGAAGGCCCTGGCCGAGTTTTTCAACGGCCGGAATCGCAGCAAGACGCCCGCCGTTTATAAGGACTACAGAGACTTCATGATCAACAGTTACCGCCTTAATCCTATTGAATACCTCACCGTCACTGCGTGCCGCCGAAATCTTGCGGGAGATGTCTGTGCGATCATGCGCGTGCATTCCTTCCTCGAACAGTGGGGGTTGATCAACTACCAGGTGTGTAATGTTTGTTTGTTATCTATGTGGCTTATATGTCTGTACATTTTTTTTTTCGTTTGAGTAGAGCTAACTATTTGAACCAGGTTGATCCCCAAACCCGCCCCTCCAACATCGGCCCTCCATTCACAGGCCATTTCCGAGTGGTTGCCGACACCCCTCGAGGACTGCAACCATTTCAGCCCGGCCCTAACCACGTGGTAACGTCAGGAAAGCCCCTTGCTGCCACTGATCGTGCTGCGTCGGCGACTCCTGCCACTAAAGCCGATCTCAACCTGGAAATTCGTCGTAACATCTACGATGACAAGGGTAAGGAGATCACGCCTGCCGAGGACAAGGAGAAGCAACAAACAAATGGAGATGGTGTCGCCACGAACGGTGCCACCGGTGATGTGACCAAGACCATCGAGAACGCCGCCCGAGAGCCCGCAAAGAAGGCCCACTGCTTCTCGTGCGGTATTGATTGCACTCGGCTCCGATTCCACTATGCCAAGTCCACCCCGGCGACAGCAAACCCGAACGCCCCCGATTCCAAGTATGACCTCTGCCCGAACTGCTTCCTTCAAGGCCGGATGCCGTCCAGCCATAGCGCGTCCGACTTTGTCAAGTTGGAGGATAAATCTTACTCGTCCATCCCAGACAAAGATGCCCCGTGGTCCGACTCGGAGCTTGTGCTGCTTCTAGAGGGTCTAGAGAACTTTGACGACAACTGGGATCAGATCGCAAGCCACGTCGGCACTAGAACGCGAGAAGAGTGTGTCATGAAATTCCTCCAACTCGAAATCGAAGACAAGTACGTCGACGACCTGCCGGGCACGCGTGCGGGTGCAGGCCGCGAGCCCATCACTCAGATGGAGAACCCCGTCCTGTCGGTGGTGGCTTTCCTGGCCCAGATGGCGGAGCCGACGGTTGCTGCGGCTGCAGCTGGCCGGACGGTCGATGAGATCCGCCAGATCCTGAAGAAGCAATTGGAGAAGGGGACATCAGCCGACGATTCGTCTGAGCAAGCCAACAAGGGTAAGGAAAAGGAAGGCGGCGAAGGACTCAAGGCCGAAGACGCCATGGACGTCGACAGCATGACCACAAGCAAGACTGCAGTGGCAGGCCCGGACAAGACTTCTTCTGCCAAGCCGTCGCTCGGGACGGTTGCCCTAGCGACCTCTGCAGCGCGCGCGGGGGTGCTGGCCTCCCACGAGGAGCGCGAGATGACACGCTTGGTCTCCGCCGCGGTCAACGTGACGATGCAGAAGTTCGAGATCAAGCTCCAGCAGTTCAACGAGATGGAGGAGATCATCGAGGCAGAGCGGCGCGACCTGGAGCAGGCGCGGCAGCAGCTCTTCCTCGACCGGATAGCGCTCAAGCGCCGCGTCAAGGAAGTGCAGGACGCCCTGCAGGCCATCAGCCTCAAGGCCCCCGGCGAGGACACCACCAGCCTTATCTCCGACATCGCCGCCGCGGGCATGGGCAACCGCTACAACTTCCAGCCTGCGGGCTCCGACCCGAGGACAAACGTCCAGCCGTGGAGTGCAGAGCCGGGAGCAGACTTCAAAGCACTTGATCTGTAGAAACAAAACAGAAAGGAAAGACCGAAAAAAAAAAGAAAAGAAAAGAACCCGTCAATAACTATGATCAATTCTATTTTCCTTTTTTCTTTTTCTTTTCTTTTCCCCCAGGCAAATTGAATGGTTGGTTCAAAAATATCTAATATAGATGTATGATATAGGGGGAACCCTGAATGGAGGAAAACCTACGGAATAGGGACTACTTTTGAAACTAACCATGTCTACTATTTCTTTTTTCTTTTTCTTTTTCGTTTTCTTTTTCTTGTTTTGCGTGATTTCACTTGACTGGACCTGCTGCTCAGCAGGTTTGGACTGACAGATGGTGTTCGTGTACGTGGTCATGTTCATCTTATGTTCTTTTCCCCCCTTGAGGACTGGAGGCGTATGTTCTGGAGTTTTTTTTTTTTATCTTGAAAGTAATGATATACCTTGTTGAAGTCTTCGGTACTGCTTTTAATCCTCGTAGGAAGGATAGTGATGGTCATTTTGATCATCCATGTATAATCTCCATTATTCATTCAAATAACCAAAAGGAACCCGCTATCGCTCTTGAATTATTATCAATTATTCCTATACAGTAAAGGAACACCGCCATCTTGGTCTTCGGCGGATAGGGGATCCGAGGAGTCCCTCTTGGAATCCAGGTTCTCAATACAGGATGCTGATGCTGATGCTGATGCTGATGTTGGCGATGGTGATATATCTTCGGACATGGTGCTATATTTTGGTTGATTTGGGGTTTCGGTGGGTTTGATGCCGGGCCACAAGGTAGGCTCATTGTCTATGTCCATTCCCATGCTGGCCCTGTTACTGTTACTGTTCCCGCTGCCGATGCCACCGCTTTCTGCGTCGGATCCCTCCGTCTCCTGTTCTGCTTTCAATGAGAAGACAGGCTGGCCTTGTGTCGAAGGGAGCGGTGAATGGGGCAAGTCACGAACATCCTCGAGTGCGGTATCTCCGGATTTGTCAGGGCTGCTTCCATGGCTGTAGGGTTCAATGCGGCGTCTTTTACGTCGATTCTGTGTGATCTCCTCGTCAACTTCGAAAGCCTCGTATCCATATTCCTCCCACTCGCTCCGATATAAGATCCGGTCCCGCCAGTCGATTAGATCTTGCTTGGTCTTGCGCTCGCCCAAGGGCCGATGTAGTGCCTTCTTGGTGTCTTCTTCGTCCGCCTCGGACTTGAAAGCCGTCTCATGCCCCCTCAGGGAGCCCCCCCGTTTCATTAAATTCCACAGTACTCGTTCGCCAATGGCGTTGGCCTTTTCATCCACTCTGTCTGCATGGTCTGTTTCTGGGTCTGCAGGGAACTCCGCCTCCTCAGATGAGCTCTGTAGGGGGGATGACAGACTCTCAGGTGAAGAAGCATCATCATACACATCCTCATCGTCTTGATCATCTACTCTCAAATCCTCTTCTGATTCAATCTCGACTTCGGACTCCCGTCCTGTCGGGCTTCTTCCAGCTTTACCAGATAGAATATTTTCCACATCGTCATAGCTCATGTATGACGGTTCCCATCCTTTGCGATGGCGAAGATCGGCAACATCCAGGCTGCACTTACGTGCCAGGCCGACCCAAAAATCCGAGCGGTCACGCTTCATACCGAGGACATCAACTGCCGCCTTGATGTCGCGAATTTTAACTATATTGGCCTTGTAATGGCCACCGGATTTCATGTTGCGGATGCGTGACATGGCAAAGAATATCGCCGACTGTATCAGGCGACGGGTGATACTGACAGTCAACGCGTAAAAATCCGAAAAGGCGCCCGCTGTCATCGATGGGCTCTCATCCTCGAAAGCCACATTGACCCAGTTGTCGTTCAATCTCGCTCCACCGGGGTTCATGAAAAAGCGCTCAGACATTCGGATCCATTTCTCGATGTTAAGCAAGCTAGCTGTGAGAAAAATACTGGGACAAGCTGTGCTAACATCATCTTCGCGGTCTTTCAATTGCTCCTCTAATTCTTTGGCTTTCTCACGATCGATGACCCAGAAATCTTGGTGCTGTCTCTGGGCGGAGAGGCGGTCCGAGTTCTGTTCTTCGAGACAAAGCAGTTCTGCGTACTCATCCAAGGCCTCGCAGCATTCTTTACTCACTTCAAGTGCTGCCGGAACATCTCCTAGCACGATCGTCCGGTGATGTCTGTCAGCCAGATGCTGGAGTTCTAGCCCTCTGTGTAGGAGCCTGATGTGGTCTTGAACCTCGAGTTCTGTCTTCGTTCCAATCGTATCTGCAATGGCTTTTATGTCATTTTTCCCCTTCCTGCTCAACGCTTGGAAGAAGAGCTCCTTTTCTCTCCCACTCCAAATCACAACGCCATTCTGCGTAACGTTGTGTTTTTCTCCGCTTGCAGATGAGGATTTCAGCGATTTCTCTCGAATCTGTTCCTCCAGCAGTTTCGTGTATGATCCTCGAGACGCCCATGCTAGCCTTGCGCTCAGATAAGCCAGGGCTTCTGACCGCGTCCCTAGTCTAGCCCGTGGGACCAAGGTCGACACAGCCTGGTCATCTCTACTGGGAGGCGACGAAACCCTGGACTTTTGGATCAGCCCTGACGAACCCAGGAACCCATCGTTCTTATTCTCAACCTGGTGATCAGAGTCTGACGGCTCTTCGTCTTCGGATGGTTCGTAGAGACTTGAGCTGCTCATTGGTCATGTGCGTTACGACCTGGGCAGACAACGCACAGAGAAAACAAAAAATGCGATGTGTAAATCTCGAACATTACTTAATAGGTTATTGAGGGGGAAAGACGTTAGATAGAGAAAGCCTGCTCCATGTTCAAGAGTTGCTGAGCAAAAGAGGTCTTGGGAAATGGTTATCTGTAACTGATTCTGGATAAGGGAAGATTTCGTTATGTTTGCATTGTTTGCAACGCTGGATAACGCCGATAAAGCATCCTCCTTCCTCAACTATTCATTATAAACTTACCAACTACTATGAAGGTGTACGACGGCTCTATGGTGCTTCAAGGGTATAACATATGGATACACTGTGGCATGATTTGGTTGCCTCCAGGCAGGTCTCGAGCAGTCATTGTACCGGCATACCTTTTTTCAAGGCGAAGCTTCTCGTGCTAACGTAGTAGACTCACGTTCAGATTTAAAATGATGCTCCTTCAGCATGTTTACTAGAAAGCAAATACAATTCATATAGCAAGAATCTAGAAATGGACATCTTTCGAATATGTGCCAGGATAAACGGTGATGTTGGTAGTGTGTTGACTACTATTCTTGTAGCAAAACCACTATTGATCATGAAAAGGTGTCAAATATGAGTCATGAAAAAACGCTGCGAAATATGCAAAAAAAAAAGCTTGGTATCATCTTCAGCCCCATAATCTATCGCTTTGGATCAGCTTGGTAACTTGAATGATAGGGGGGAAAGGTTGGACATACCATCAAATAAACCCGTGTATCAACATCTCATTCAGATTCTTCATCTGCCTCCTCTGGTTTCTCTACTTCCTCTGGTTCCTCTATTTCTGAATCCTCTACTTCATCTGCTTCCTCTAATTCCTCTGGAGATATTACCTCTAGTTCTTCCGAGGCTTCTAGAGATACTTCCTCTGGTTCCTCTGGAGCCAAAGAGGCCAAGAGCTCTTCGACTTCTTCATGTCCCATTTTAGCAGCCAGATCCTGGGGCGTTTTCCCGCGCTTGTCTTTTGCGTCAAGTACAGCCCCATGGCTAACCAGGAATTGCACGTCATTCCTCAGTCCAGCCTCGGCTGCCAAATGAAGTGCTGTCTTGCCATACATGTCTTTGATGGAAAGTTCAGCATGGTAGTTGACCAGCAGTCGCATCGCATGGCTTCTCGCGGATACTGCTCTATGCAGGGCAGTCCGTCCGTAATCATCTTGAAGGTCGATGTCGGCTCCCTTTCCGACCAGGAAGTCCACCATCTTTCGATGGCCACGTTCAGCAGCCTTGTGCAACGGAGTTTCTCCAGAGTGATTCGTCACGTTGATATCCTCGGTGTTTCCCAGGAGCAGAGCAACCAACCTTCTGTGGCCGCCTACCGCTGCGAGATGGAGGGGAGTATCGCCGAGTGCGTCTTGTGCCTCGGGGTCTGCATTGTTGGATAACAGTAGTTGCACTACTCTGTCATGTTCGTTGATTACTGCTAGGTGCAGCGCTGTTCTGCCATCATTGGCCTCCATGTCCACTTGGGCACCCGCTTGCAAGAGGTCAGTAGCCACTTCAACATCGCCGTCCCTAGATGATAAATGTAGGCCTGTCTGGCCAGAGTTGTCTTTCACGTTGACATCGGCTCCCCTTTGAAGCAAGAGGTGGAACATTTTGACTCCACGTTTGCTCCTCCTATCGTACATGAGAAGTGCCAGTAACAACGGCAGGCCGAACTCTCCAGATCGTGAACTCATATCTGCCCCCTTCTTAGCTAAATACTTAACCACAGCCAAGTGCCCCTGGCGACCGGCACGATATAGGGGAGTGCCGTGCGGTCCCTTCCCATTTTCCATGTCAACCGGGGGATGGATCTCCATGTTGGCCCCGTTTCTGACCAGCAGTTGCACGACTGGCAAGTTCCCATTGCTAGCGGCCCACCATAAGGATGTACGCCCACAGTTGTCCATGTCATCGAGGCCAACTCGCCCAGAACCGAGAAGCAGTATGAGAACCTCCTCGTGGCCATTCTCGGCCGCCCATATCAGTGTCGTCCGGCCATTGGCATCCCTTATACCGGGGTCGGCATTCCTCTGCAACAACAGCAGCACTGTGGTCAAGTCCCCTTTTTCCACTGCCCAGTATAGCGGCGTATGCCCATTCACATCGGGGATATTGGGGTCCACTTCATCATGTGCCAATAGTGTTGTCATGACTCCCATGTGCCCGTTCTTGGTCGCCCAGGCGAGGGGAGTCCGGCCGACCACGGAATCCGTCGAATTGAGGTCCATGCCGCCATTTGCCAGTAAGAGCTGCAGTACGTTCTCATGGCCCTTCTCTGCCGCCAGGGAAAGCGGACTGCGTCCATCTCCATCCTTGCAGTCCAGATTCACGCCGGGAGTGCTGAGCAAAAGTCGCACGATTGAATCATATCCTTTGCTAGCAGCAAGGAAAAGCGCAACATCAAGTTTATTTTTAGCAGTACCGTCTGCCATTTTCCAAACGAATTGACTAGAGACAGGCCGGGTTCATGAGCAGGAATCGGGGAATTTCTATTTCAGGTATGATAGGCATATAGTTGAAACTTGAAACTAAAGCTTAACAGAAAAAGATCCTCTTTCCGCGTCGCAGAGGGCAGAGCTAACCAAAATACCCCGCCGGTTGGGAGTCCAGACGATAACTCCTGCAACTACGCAGAGGGGTAACAATAACGTGATGGCATGGAGATGGCTTCCTTTGGGTACAGACAACTTACAACCTGCCCCAATCGCCACGTGTGGAGCTGCTACTGGCCGTCCAATGATTACACGAGACTAGCTACTATTCTTGCTGGCTTAACAGGCCTTGTTTGACCCGGTCAATCACGCATTATTCGCATGGCGTGGACCCCGTCATCGAGGAACATGTTCTCAGGCAAAACTCGTGGTGAAATTCAAGAGGCCCAGCAGCCACCGTCTAACTATCTTCCCTATCTCATTTGCATGTTATCCATCAGGCGTGATTTTCGTGTGGCAAGCCACGGTGCCGCAGGTGTTACAATGTCGGAACCTGTCTGTAACATACAGTTAGCAAAGACTGCTACATCCAAAGCTTGACGAAGCGCAGAAAAAGAAGTGAAAGAATCATCCAAGGTTCAGAAGTCCGTTTAGAGCATTGGAGCAACACCGGGTAGGCACTGCCCCTGACATAAGAGGTACCAGAAAATAAAAAAAAATGGTGTGTATCATCATGCTAGGATTGATGCCAAAATAGGGGATATGCAGAAGTGGGCTGACCTTTAATATTCTCAAGTCGGTTTGTTGTCTAGATAGGTTAGTAATCTAAAAGCTGTGCTGCTGGCTTCGACACATCACTCGAATTACCAGCACTTGAGAGCTTGTAGGAGTAGAAAGAAAAAAAAACCGACAACAGTCGTGATAATCTGGTTTGGTGGTTGGGCGGACCAAGACCCGAATTTAAACACGGAAAAAGTTAAGCGAAGTAGTCACATGACACACTCCACACAGAAGTTATCCAGAACTTTTTACGATTTTCATCTTCAGCCAGCTTCACACCGTCGACAATCCCAGCCAACCACTCGACAATACATCACAATGGGGTATGAGAATACTGGTCGCGTTTTATCGACATTCTTTATACTGATCCTTTTCTTGTAGTCGCCTTCACTCCAAGGGAAAGGGTATCGCCTCTTCGGCCATTCCTTACAGCCGCGCTGCTCCCGCATGGCTCAAGACCACCCCCGAGCAGGTCGTTGACCAGATCTGCAAGCTCGCCAAGAAGGGCAGCACCCCCTCCCAGATTGGTGTTGTCCTCCGTGACAGCCACGGTGTCGCCCAGGTCAAGACCGTCACTGGTATGATGAAATTTTTCTGGACAATGGACCGAGGCGCAGGGATTTGCTGACTTCCATTTTCCCACAGGTAACAAGATCCTTCGTATCCTGAAGTCCAACGGTATGGAAAACCTTGTCGCTCCCGTCCCAGTCGCATTAGGAGGATGAAAGGTCCATGAGGAAGTCAAAAAGCAAAGCAACTGGCTGGGATTTTCTACTCGAAATGGATAGTAGATGTTATCCTCAGACCAACTCAAGCCCGGGTGATGCCGACTTGTTTGCGAAGCTCTGTCGACGCTTTCTCCGACCCTCTCCTCGACAAAGCAGGTCCCTGGTGCAGAAATGCCCACGGCTTGATATAATATATGCCTCTGCTTGGTCTCGAATTTGGACTGACAGAGTGATCTTTTCGACTTATAGGCCTTGCCCCCGAGATTCCCGAGGATCTGTACCACCTCGTCAAGAAGGTAATTACCTAATTTCTGTTCTTTTTTTTTGACTCGCTCTACCTGTCTAGGATCCCTGCTAATCATTCTTTCCAAGGCCGTTGCCGTCCGCAAGCACCTCGAGCGCAACCGCAAGGACAAGGACAGCAAGTTCCGCCTCATTCTCATCGAGTCCCGTATCCACCGCCTGTCTCGCTACTACAAGACCGTCGGTGTCCTCCCCCCCACCTGGAGATACGACTCGGCCACCGCCAGCACCCTCGTCGCCTAAGCGCATCGCGTGCATGTGTGTTGTGGTTGGATTGAAGGATACCTTTGGAAAGGTTTTAGTCTTTATTAGATAGACCACCTTCCATCAAAAAATTATTTTTTTTCCTGACGACCGAATGACTAAATATTTCATGATAATTACGCTCTATATTTTCAAACGTAATCGCATTATATATACATATATATGTACTATCGCTGAGCCGCCCTGGACAATATATATAAACGTGAAAGAGCCTATATACGAGTTTTGTATGTAAAGCATCAGCTTGCTGTGCGTACCTCTCTGGGTACAGCATTACAGAGCTCCACCCTGATCCCTGCACCGATCAAGACATGAATCCATAGTCGCTGCGTATCACTCAGCCTGTCGTTTTCCGACTTGACTTCGGCGAACATGACCTCCTTCTTTTCTAGACTCCAAAGGAACAGGTCTGGAATCCCGCCGCCACGCTGCTGGTATTCTTGGGCCATGACTTTGCAGATGGTTGCCAGGGCTTCGCCACGGAAGCATTGCACAATCTCAACCAGGTCGTCCAGTTGAAAGGACCAGTCAATGCCGATAGCACAGGTTTGCTTAGGAGCCTCGCGTGCATGCACGGCGCGGATGATGCGTTCAGCATTGCCGTTGGTGATGTCGACGAGGCGGTGGTTAATCTCGGATGCTCTTGCAGGATAGAACGCGTCGGTGTGTAGGTCAAGAGGGCACGTCTGAAACGGGGTCTGGAATACATTGGGGACGTAGGTGAAGATAATGTCGTAGAACAGGTATCCAAACTGGAGCATTCATTCGTGGTCAGTCACCTGAGTCTTATCAATCTTGAATATTGGAACATTGAATATTGGAACATACTAGAGTTCTAACAATGCCTCCTTCGGCATGATAGCCCTTCCAACCGTGGTCCCTGTACCAACTGAGGCACATGCTTTCTACTCGGCATTCGCCGCCTCCTTCGCGCTCATCTACCCAGATAGTCGGACGGCCTCTTCGTGAAGCCGCGTCGCCACCATTCTTCGAGCTGGTATAGGCCGGTGAGTCCTCCCTCTCGATACGGATGCCTTCGACAGTCCGTTGGACTGGCTGGGCCAACATGACGTGGCCGAAATCATGTTGTTCGCGCTTGACGACTCTCAACGCCTTCTCGAGCTTCGTAATTCGTTTCTGTAGGTCGTAATGAAATATAATATGGCATTCTGGGTCTTCAAGCCCTTGCTCGCACGTTTGCACTGCGACTCTCTTCCAATGCTTTTTCTGGGCTTCTTCGCTGCGTCCATCAGAAGGAGAAGGAGAAAGTGCCCACATGTAGTGCTCTTCAAGCAGAGCTTTTCGCTGATACCAAGATCCGCGCCTAGCAGTATGGAAGAGACGCTGGTCGAGCAGTTCGGTGAGGAGCTCATGTTCTCTTTTATGCTCTTTGAAGCGACCCAGTGAATTCAGCCCCTTGTGCACGATTCTCGTGTAGACCCAAGCTGGCGAAAAGCGTCGTAGATACGCCCCTTCTCCGCTCTGATAAACATTGTCTTCCTTGCGCTGTTCTTGCTGGAGCAGTGTTTTCCACCGAGGATACACCTTTTCCGAAAGGTCTTTGACTAGTTGTAGCGCTTCTGTAGTGGATGTCCCGCTGAACTCAAGCACATTATCAATGCGAAACTGTGTCCGTAGAGCAGACTCGAATTCCAGCAGCATTGATCTAGACGAAAATATTGAGCTCGATCGAGACACAATGTAATCTGGAAAATTCTTGCGTGAGATCTTAGCGAGAATGATCGTTTTAAGAGAGTTCTCGGTCCACTCTGTTGATTTATAGAAGACCAGGTGCACACGCTCAAAGAGGGCACGAGGACCAGAGGCCAGCCTGATGCACTCTCCCGTTAGTTCTCTGATTTTCTGAACATAGTGACGGTCCCGATTAGCACTTCTACTGGTATCGCTGCTTTTGTCACAGTTGTTCCAGTCGAGGCCGGACTGTGCCTGGCTTGATTGTAGAAAAGCCTCCAGCAATTCCTTCTTGCTCTTTCCTTGCACTTTCGCTTCCTTGGCGAACACTCTCAGCTCGTCGAGTAATAGAAGCGAGGATGCCTCTTCAAGCGTAGTGATCTGATCTGTATCCTCTGCAAACTGGAAGCTCCCGCATAGCGATTCATGGTTTGTTAATTCCTGATCTGCAGGGTTATCACTAAGCGGTTGAAATGATTTCGGAAGGTCTCGAACGCGCTGAAGATCAGTCGAAATAGTGGCCATGTCTGTGATATCTGAATAGTAATTTAATCGATTGATCCGATACCACGCTGAGGTCTTGCGTAGGAATAGGCGCACATAACTACTCAAGAGGTCAGAACAACCGGGGATAGAAGAAGAGCAATGCTACCCGGGAGTCTAAAAAAAAGTTTTCAAACATACAGATACTGAGCCTCGTAGGAAAGCCCCCTCCACTGCTTGAAAACTTCCATTTCAGTACTATCAAAAAGATGGGATTCCTCATCAAGAACTGTCTCCAGCGCCAGGTTAAAAGCATCCACATATATGGAGCTTTTCCCCTTGCGCCAGCTGCCATCCTTCAAGCGTTGATGTAAACCAGGTTCTTTGTCATCATCACCATAACTAGCTTCTGGCTGGTGAGAAGCTTCGTAATCTTCAATCGCGCGTTGATCGGTGTCCACGAATGGCAGTGAGGTCTCCAATTCGGTCTGACTATTCGAGACTGGATTCTCTTCGAGATTCAACTCTGCAGGATAGAGATCACCACTGCCCCAGACAGCAGGATTCTCCAGCCAATCCACTACCACAGGATGAGTTGGAGAATCAGGGCGAGTCTTTGCACCACTGTTATTGTGCAGTTGATCGGATGTCACTCGGCGGTCCTCGTCATCGTCGGTTTTTCGACGTTTGACCGAGCATCGTTGCGTCTCCCAATAGTCCAACAAGGACATCCTGCCATGAATTCGGACAGAGCATTCGAAAAAAGCAGGTGAGAAATGCCTCCTGAGTGAACAACCCGCTGCACCTCAGACTCTCGCGCTGCCTAAATCCCACCTGCTACCTAGCGCGCCAAAACGTGTTTTGCGAAACACGAAGTCACCTGATTCTAATGGCTTGTTTCAAATCAATAGTTACCTAGGTAGATATCTGCGTACGAGTGCCCCTTATATAGGTACCTAGTACCTAGTCGGCTTGGAATATTTGCAGCATAATATGATTTAATATATTTTTCTAACCAAATCAGCCTCTCACCCCTTCCTTTTGTTCATCATTAGAAGGAAGCCCTTGTACGGATGTCGGTGCGATCTGCACTGATCTCGCCGCCCTACACTCCGCCTTCGTTGCTCCGATTAATCACCTCGCCTCAAAACACTCTGATATCAGCAGTCTACTCTTCCTTTTAACGAAACCGAGGATCGATTTTTCTGTACAAGCATCTATTTGAATCCCTGTGTCAATAATCGCCCTGTCGTCCCCAACACCTCGAACTCCCCTAATCGAATCATTCGCGAGTTCCACGTCTCCAATAAAGAGTTCCCTACATAGCTTCAGATCGTCATGGGCAACGAATCGACACCCAACGGATCAATGAACCATAACACCCCGTCAGGCGATGTGCCCAATACCACAGGAACACCACAGGCGCGGCCTGGAGGTGCCCCGGCCCGGATGTATCTCAACGAGAAGGTCGTACCATACCTGCTAGAGGGAATGAAAACCATCACGAAGGAACAGTAAGTGGCAACAATCCTTGGACATATTGTGCTTTATTTGCATACATCCTATCGTTTTTTTTCTCTCTTTTCTGATGAAAGCAGACCGCCGAATCCCCTCCGCACGTTGGGTGAATTTCTTATTCAGAAGAGCAACGAAGTCGAGGGCGCGGCCGGATCCAACAAATCACCTGAATAAAGGAGATGTCCTATGTGGGTTTCGGTCTATAATTGGGTTGTTCATAAGGAACATGATAAGTTGAGAAATCAAGCTCAACGTGCGGTTTGTCGGCATCTCATCAAGAAGGTCGTACAACTATGAGACATGCAGTTACGTACGGCCTTGCGGACTGCGTTTACAACAGACGTCTGTTACCTTCTTCTTCCCCAGCATTGCGCTCGCAGGACTATGCTAGGAAACACCGTTCAATTGTTTTCTGGCCGTCTGGATTGCGAAATAGCACTCGGGGATGCGCGATCTGTACACGTCGCTAATTTGCATAGTACTAAGCGTTGTTACACTGCTACAATGTTACGAAGGGGGAGATTTGTTAACGTCAATTGTTTCTTCTCTGTTGAGAATGATGATGTCTCTTGGATCTTGAGAATTTATGATTTGTAAAATGGCTGCATGCGATATAAATCAAAATACAGCCTGCTAGTCAGTACACTGTCAAAGACCGAGAGCTTGCCATCCTCAGAATTATCTAGGCCATCATTTAGAATCAGTTCTTCACTCGTAATATGCGTTTTTCCGACAAGAAAAAGCCATGGCAAAAGATGAACATTAGGTTAGCTCCTCCTTCCTCCATGATGTCCCTACCTTCATTCCCTGCACTGCACTGGTTTCGAGCCGCAAACCTAGAAATTACAGTGTTTGTGTCTGCGATGGAACAAAATTTTTTAAAAGAGGGAAGGGGGAGGGGAGGGGGAGGGGGGAGGGGGGTAGGATGTGAGATTTGTTCTGCAGACACTGGCGAGATACTACAGGCAGACGAATAGCCGGAATCCATAGAGAGAGATTCAGACTAGATCAAATCGCACGTGAGCCAGGTTTGATCTGATCTGATCTGATCCGATGCGAAAGAAATGCTGGAAACAGCGAGACTTTAAAATGTGATTGTTTGCTTGGTCGAATAAAATCGAGTCGTTACGTGAATAGGTGCACAGACGCAACAAGGCGAGTAGCTGACTATCGAGACATGGACCAAATCCGGAAAAGGTGCAAAGAGGTACTGTAGTAGTGCTGACCCACGAGACAACCGACGAATTACAACGTATTGTGTGTGTGAACTCTGCTTCTTTTCCCTTGCCGCCAAAGTGATTTTTTCCCCGGTATTATCGAGAGCGAAGAAACACAAGAGAGCAGCATCATTCAGCGACCGAAGAATGCCGAAAATGGGCGAGCAGCTGTCGTGTTGATCGCGAGATATAGCTCCGAGAGTATCGCCGAGACGACAGGTGCAAAGCGAGAAAAGATGACTTTTTGGGGAGGGAAACAGAAACAACTGATATCCAGGGTGGCTCCGTCGAACTCAAACCCACAAGGGAACCGCAGTAAAACCACCTTGGTTACAAAAAGAAATAGTGCATCATAGAGACAAGGGGAAGAGAAGGAGAAGCGAGGTTTAGAAAAAAAGAAAAGAAAATAATGAAAAAATGAAGAGAATAAAGTAAAAAAGAGAAACAACAACAACAAAAGGAAAACGGGGGATTGTGAAGATGAATCGTCGCAAATTAATGTGCCATCAACGAGGCCCGACCTGAGGCGTGCTTCACCTACCTGGCACCACTGTAACGGTCTTCGCCGCCACGCGACTCGTAGGAACGGCTGGCGTAGGCGTCACGGTTTTCACGGTTTTCACGGGGAGGGGCTTGTTCATAACTGGGAGGGTTAGCATCGCGGTCGTAATAGCCTCGGCGATCGTCGCCACTGCGGCGGTCATCACGACGATCCTCACGGCCGTACCGATCCTCGCGGCCAGAGGCATAGCGGTCGATGCCACCACGGTAGCCACCTGCATATTCATCGCGATACTCGCGACGGCCGTAGTCACGACCATAGTCGCGTCCGCCACTGCCACGATCACCGTAGGAGTCGTAGCGGCTTCCATAGCGGTAGTCATCGTTGCGGCGCCAGCCACCCCCGTATCCGCCACGGCGGTCATCGTAGCGGTCTCCACGCCCACCACGAGGGGGGCCCCGGAAGTCCCCTGCATTGTCAGCAGCGAACTTATAGAGCTAGTATGGATGTAATGGCGAGGGGGAATTACCGCGCTTGGGAGGACCAAAGTATTTGCCAGGAGTAGGGGTTCTGGGGCGGCTACGACGCGCCTTCTCAATGCTCAAGGTGCGGCCCTCGATGACCTCGCCCTGAAGACCCTCCTTGGCAGCATCCGCCTGCTCGGCAGTCACCATCTTGACGAAGCCGAAGCCACGAGACTCCTTGGTGTGGGGGTCGACCATGATCGAGCAGTTCTCGACATCGCCGTACTTCTCGAACAGACGCGAGATATCGGACTCGGTCAGGCGAGGGTGGATGCCAGTCACGAACAGGTTGGAGCCGGTGTTGACCGCGCCTTCCTCGTCCTCCTCCTTGAGGCGGTGAATCGCAGTGCCCCTGCAAACCATCACTGTTAGAAACTGATTTAACCACCAGGCAAACTCATATCACATACCGGTCATCAAGGCGAACTGGGGATCGGCTACGGGCGCGGTCCCCACGAGGCTCATCGCGAGGTGACGCGCTGCGATCGCGTTCGAAACGAGGCTCGTCTACAGAGAGGAAAACACGTTCGTCAGCGATATCAAATCAAGGAAGTCGCTAAAGTATATAAAAAAAAAGGGTGACTCGTTTGCCTTCCCGTCTCGGGACGCGACTTACCGTCATAGCGACCGTTCTCGGTATCATACTCAGCAGAAGCCATGGCGATAGTTGGTGGATTCGAGGAAAATACGAAACTGCAAAGGAAGAATGGGTGAGTATACAGGGCGAAGACAAGCGATTAAAGGAGCCCGAAGACGCACGCCTGGGAGGTGTTCAGAGGCGAGGAGAAAAAAAAAAGCTCACAAGGGCGGGTGACACAAAGTCAATCGTGGGACAAAAGGGGAGAGAGGCGTGTAAGGAAAGAGGGAAAAAAAAGATGAAGATGATATCCCAGTAAGGAGAGGGCGAGATAGGGAAGAGTGAGTAGAAGGGGACGTGGGAAGAGGGAAGAGAGGAAGGGGGCTCGAGAGAGGTGAGGTGAGAGAGGTAAGACAGAAGGCGACTTTGACTGGTTTTCCTGGTCGCCTCGACGGGGCAATCCAGACTCTCGCAGTCGCTGGGAAGCATGCGCCAAGACCGTACCTACTGCTTGATCACCGCCTATTTCATAGGCTATACTTACGAATATTATAAGTGTCTGTAAGAACAAAATTAGGGAATTCTTGTTGCTGTCATTATTACTCCTAGCTAGATTACTGAAGTCCTTCTCTCCGTCGCCAAATCGCACTACAAGAAAAGAAAAGAAAAAAAAAAAAAAAAAAAAAAAAAAAAGGCAGCTCCGCAGTGAAAGCAAAGACAAAAAAAAACAAAGAAACGCCTCGTCTAAAGTCATGCGCAATGTCCCTGATTGAATTGAGGGAGGAGGGGGGAAAAAGGGCAGGTGGAAGGGAAGAGGAAGAGAATGAAGTAAATAATAATGAAGATGACGTTTATTTGAATCCACGCCATCGCCGTCGTGTCCGATGGACCTTCACCTCGGGGTCAGCCGCAACGGGCGGTTCGGCGGGTGAGGGTTCGTCGCCGGTCGCGTTGGCAGTGGCAGTCCCAGCAGGGGGTTTGTGGTCACCCACGAGATCCTCTAGCTCTTCTTCGTCCAGCTCGCTGAGCTCCTCGCTCATTCCGCGCATGACGTCCCGTCCTGTCCATCGTTCCTCGTGGATCGTTGTCCCCACAGGGTCGAAGGGCTGCATGTACCACTGAATGCCTCCCTGGGCCAGCGGAGCCTGCTGGTCGCCTTGGAAGCTCAGGGGGGGCGTCGGGGGGGCCTTCTGGGCCGCCGGCAGCTGGACTGGCGGTTGCGGGTTCGTGGTGTCGTGGTCCGGTTTGAGTTCCCCGTTGATGGCCACCCCCGAATCGGACGTCGACATGACAGCAGTAGTGAGATGATCGGTGAATTTTGTCTCCGCTGCCGAAATGAGGGTTTCGTCGGTGGGAGCAGAGGCAGAGGGCTCTTCGGCAGTGGCAAGATGGTCAGCCTCCTTCTCTTTCTCCTCCTCTGCGGCCGCCGGTGTGGCAATATGGGTAGGCATTTCCGGCCCAGGCGTGGGCTCCGACTTGGCCAAAAGATCTGCGACATTATCAGATAGCGTAGAGGGAGCCGCAAGATCTTGTGGCTCTGTGTTCTCGGCGACGTCAGCCGATTCCACCAGCGAGCCACGCCTGGAAAGCACGCTGTTTTCCAGAATGACGTCTAGTTCTTTGAGTTCCTTCTCGAAGGGCCGGCGGTTGAGCTCGCTCTCGCTCCGAATTGCATCTTCCAGCGCAGGTTGGATCGCCTTGATGATCCGTTTCGCCATCTTTCTCTTCTCGCGTTGCTCCGAATTCAACTCGGGATCCCGCCCACTGATCTGCATCTGGAGTTCGGCAGTGTCTCCAGCAGGCTGGACGCCAATTTCTGACGTGAAAACAGCGGCCAGATCCGCAGAGAAGGCCGCAACAGAAGTGTAGTTTCTCTCCTGCAGTTTGGTGCGTATGGATGCAAATCCGCCTCGGAAGAAACCTTTTCCATCGAGCCTAGAAAAAAAAACGATACAATCGAGTTAAAAAGGGGACATAGAATGCGGGAATTGGAGCGTGTGCTTACCCTTGGGCTTTCTCGAAAATGGGCCAAAGAAGGGGAGGAAGAGGGAAGTAGACAAGATCAACGATGTTGCGAAGCATTTCCGCGTCCTTCAGTTTCTCACGCTCCCGTTTCTTAACTTCGTCGCACAGCATCCTCAGCCGATCCAGGTCTCGATAGAGCCTCTCGCCAAACTCGATGCGGCGCTGCAGGCGCTTACCCCCGGTGGCGCCCATGGCTGTGTAGTCCCTCCTAGTCATTTCCATGGACGAAAAGGTCTCAAGTTGTAGTTGCAGTCTCTTCAGCAGTGCCGCCCCGCGTCGTGCTTCTCGCTTCAATGTCCAGTACTTGCACGCGTCTTCCGCGTACTGTTTCCTCTGACGCACGCTGAAACGCTGAAGCGAGGCGACGACAGAATTCAAAACGACATGTGGGATAACTGGGGCGCCCGAAGGGAGTTTCCATATTGTCCGGGGTATATTCAAACGCTTGCGTTTGCTTCCGCCCACGGTAAGAGTAATTCGAGGGGTGTGTGTCCGGGGCCCTCCCTCGTCGTCGTGGGTATGTTCACCGTCCATTGGATGTGACGGCTCCAGTGACAGGGCCGCTGCCTGACTGTCGCCCCAGCGTCTGCCTTGCATCGTGTTGCGATAATACTCGATTGCATCGGCCGTGGCTGCGTCGGTACCATGCTCCCGGCGCCATTCGGGAGGGACGTGTTTGTCACAAAAAGCTTTGAGAAGATGGGAATCCATGACGGCGGAACTGCCATGGCCGGGCTTCATCTTTAGGTACAGCTGTGCCCGCCGAGCGCAGGTGACATGGAACGCAACGAAGCAGTTCTTGTTGCTGCATTGGATTGACGCACCCATTCTCTGTCGACAGATATAGCACTGCAGTTTCCAACGGCTTCGCGGAACCTTTTCGACATCTGTGACCGGCTCCATCAGGGAAGGGTTACCAAGGGACACCTCGGGAATCCAGATGGCACATAGGAGATGCGACCACTTTGAAGTGGTGGTTTGTTTGAATGCACCCTCGGTGTTCGGACAGAAGATACAGTTGATATTTCCTCGTCCGATCAGCTGGCATTTCCGACAGAGCCACTGGCCTTCGGGAATAAATGGTACGCCGTAGCATTCTTGGTGAACAGCCAGATCGCAGCCGTCACAGAAGACAATCGCATTGGAGTTCTCACAGTCGCCATCATCGCAAATCGCGCATTTGCTATCCTGCTCTTCTCCGGGTCCTGTGATCTCTCCGTTGACAGCAGCGGCAGAACTGGAACGCGGACGCTGAGTCTGCGGTGGCTTGGGGTTGGGTTTTGGAATGCGTTTTTCAAGCACATGCCACTCCTTCTCGATCTTGGTCATGGTTATTTCGAAGATCGCCGGCTTAATAGGCTCGAGTTGGTCCTCTCTTCTTTTTGCATTGTAATCCTCGAGCCACTGCTCGTCCTGCTCATCCATATCATACTCTACTCTGCCAACCGCAGCGTTGACATCGCCGTCAGAGGGGGCTGCATGTGTAAGATCCACGTCGTCATCCTGCAAGCCATCGCTCATTCGGATGAGCCTACGCTCATGACGGACGAACATATCACTCTCCTGGTATCCAACACTAGCCATTGTACGATCAACGTAGTTGCGCTGGCCGAGGCCTTTCTGTTCGTATGGTACAAAGGGATCCCGCAGCTGAAAGGAGGGTTTTGGCAGCGTCAACTTCTCGCGCGGGTTCGGACCGGGTGGCGGGACAACCTTGGGTTGATCCGGTGTAAGCAGGTTGTATATCAGGGCATCTGGCCGGCGAGGCGGCCGTCCAGGTCGACGCTTGATGGGCGTAGGCGACAGAACCTGAGGGCTAACCGGTCCTAGACCAGGCATAGGGGATCCCGGAAGACCGCTCGTCAGGGCACCGTTCGGCAAGCCCCCCGCCAGGGTTTTCGCCGAACCATTTGCGCCGTCTACCTCTTCGGCGGTGAAAACCGCAAACTTGGCCTCAATATCAAGGTCTGGATGAAACTCTTCCCATCCCCGCTCCTCCCGGGGTTTATATCCATCCCCCTGCTGCAGGGCGAGAGCAGCAGCCGTAGAAGACGGGTAGCGGCCTCGAGTCTGGCTTTTGTCCCTACGGGGACGGACCGATGGTGGTGTCGCTGGCGGCAGCGCCGCAGGCGGGGGCGGAGGCGGCGCAGGGGATTCGACCGGTTGTGTGCCGTTCTCTGGCGCAGAACGACTACGGGTGGCGGAGATGTTGCGCACGGGGGCAGGCGACTTGACCACCGGTTCCTCCTCGTCGATTTCGATATACCTACCACCGCCCCCAGGCCCGCCAGGGACGTACTTTCGCCTTTTCGGGGGCGGGCCTTCGCCGGCCTCAGCGTCGGAGCCGCGTGGTCCTTTCAGCAAGAGTCTCGAGTGTTTGCGCGGCGGTCGCCCCGGTCGGCCTCTCGGTCGAGCAGCTGCATTTAGAGGCGCCATCTCATATCCATGCGATGCAGGGCCGGTGTTTCGTAGTTGGTCCTCGTCCTCCTTGCGAAGGATAGGGAGTCTTGCTGGAAAGGTCACCCTCTTGGTTCGAAATGAGCGACACAACAATCAAAGAAAATCCGTGTCACGACAGAAAGAGCGTGCAGCTGAAAGTAAAGCAGATCGCCAGATGCATGCAACAAATAAACAAGAAGAAGACCAGCTCATATGGCCAAAGCAGCGCAACCCTCCTCGTTCGATCGCGGGCAACCGACGCGCCTGAAGTCGTTATCTCTGGTCACGCCCTGCGCTAACCGCCTTGGGACTAGCCCATCCACTCTCCGCATCCTCACACGGCGAAGCTACACAGCAAAGAGAGAGAGAGAGAGAGAGAGGCCAGCTGGTGCACGCTACATCTCTGAGCAATCTACCGTCGTCCAGGATGAGTGGACCCGGCGACGAGCGGTATGTAGCCACTGCAGTTTTATAAAGTACCTATAAAAAGCACTCCTCATCCGCTGACAGACTGCAGATGGCGCGGAGGTCGACCATATGATCCAAATCGCCAGTCCGGGCAACGACAACGGAACAATAATATGGGCCAACAAGGCAGTGGACGCGGCTCCCCTGCTGCCGGTATGGGAAACACCTGGGGTGCGTCTCGCGATGCGGCAAGCATGGGACTTCCCCAAGACCAGCATGTCCCCGTGCGTGGGTTTAATGCTGCGGAGGCCAAAGCAGCTCTTAGGAGAGGTACGAGATATTCATCTTAGAGGGACATAAAAATTCATGTCTTCTTTTGAGCTCTACTAATTTATTTTTCTTTAAATCAGGTCAAGGAGGTAAGATGCAGACCGCTTCGTTCGTTGGATCGACTTCGACTTTCTAACTTTTTGTCACGATCAAGAGCCGAGACCCTTCTTCTATAAACCCTCTGGCAAGGAAGTGAATAACCGGGCGAGTGGACCATGGGGCTCAAAGCGTACGCTATCAATACAATTTATAAAAGAAAGAAAAATTGTTGGAAGATGACTGACAATAGTAGCAAATACCACGGCGAGTGGCAAGGACTTCTTTCTCGAGCTGCGCAAGCAGATCACTACCCTGCGACAGGAAAGCAATGTCCCCGGTGGTTGATTGCTTCATACTTGATGTGGTGGCAACTATGAGGGCAGTGCGGTTATGATGGATAGTTGGAGGTCAGAAGATGCGAATCATCGCCTGAAATGGTGTCGGTTATACATTCTGCCTCTTGTCGCTCGGAAAATAGCGTGCATCAGACCAACGCTTTCATCCTTGACATCATGGGTTAAGTCTCGCCTGGGGTACATAGCATGTCTTCTTCGGTTTCGATAGTCAACACCTCAAAAAGTCAACAAATCCAATGATCAACAAATATAGCAGGGTATCTGTAGAGTTGCAAAACAAGGAGACCTATATCGTACAGTGTATTATGGTTATTATAGTACATGTAAACGCTAACCTTGTAAGATATCTACATCTTTCTAATCCAACCTCCCACACCGAGAATGCCACCATCGTCCGCCTGCGCGTCGAGCGCCCACTTCCGCACCGGCTGGGTCCCGAGATCAGTGTGCCAGCCAGCCTCGAACATCTCGATCCCCGCCCAGCCGATCATGGCGGCGTTGTCGGTGCAGAGGCGGGGCGGGGGCGCGACGAGTCTCACATGGTCGAAGCCGCGGACGTCGAGGAACCCGCGCAGCACGGTCATCAGGAACCGGTTGGCGGCGACGCCGCCACTAACGACGAGGGTGTTGATCTTATCTGAGCTTGCGTCCTGACGGAGCGTCTCTAGGGCAATGATCGTCCGGGAAGCGAGGTGCTCGAAGGCCACACGCATCGATTCGCGGGCAAGCGCTCTCCGTTCTTCAAGAGAGACGTCTACCCCGGCTTTGGTCTTCGCCACAATCAGGGATTTCGCCCGGCTCGCGACAGACGCAAAGCTGAACTCTAGGGTTCGCGTGTTGGCAAAGGGGGTGCCAAGGGCCCACCCCCAGGGTGTCTCCTTCTTGATGAACTCTTCCCCGCGTGTTCGTGGGGGCCGGTAGTCGGTGTAGTCTGCAGCGCCATTGGGAAAGGCGAATTGCTCCAGCATCTTGCCGTACATTGTATTCTTGGCGTTTTCCAGCAGAGAAGGCGGAAGGACTTCCCGCGCCGTTTTGTCGAGCGCTTCCCCGATGGCGATGTCGCTACTCTCGGCCATAATCTGGTGTCCCACGATCGAAGTCGACCTGACCAGGATGGAATGTCCCCCCGAGACTAGAATTGACAGGAAAGGGAACTTCGGTTGGGTAGGACCATCACCGCCCTCCAACGATGCGACGAGTCGTGGTGTCAAAAGATGTGCCTGCATATGATGCACCCCGACAAATGGCACCTGCCATGCCACTGACAGCGCTTTGCCCGTTTCCAGCCCGATAGTGAGATTCGACCGCATGCCTGGTCCTCTGGTCGCAGCGACAAGGTCTGGTTTCCGCCGCGGTTGGCTCTCGCCTGCGAGGGTAATCTGACCGCCACCACCATCGCTATTACCCCCAGTTATCAGGGGAAGATGGTGCAGTGCCTTGTTGACCAGCTTGGACATGCTTTCATGGTGCGATTCGAGAGCAACGATCGGGTGGATGCCGCCGTATTCTCGCGTGTCGGCCGTCACGTTTTCTAGGAAATGGATCTTGGTTGCATTCTTCTCTTTCTCGAGAATAGCCACGGATGTATCGTCACTAGCAGCAAAAGTATCGTCAGCAAAAAATACAAAGTCTGGTATAGATAGAGAGACGCGGATTTTCACTAGACTCACCATGATGACTCGATGGCCAGTGTAAGAAGACATCTCCGCGAAACTGACGGAACCCCCTGCCTCCAGACACCTAGACCAAGCCGAGGAGACCGAACGACTGACCGAAAGACAGATGTAGGTGCTGAACAAAGCATGAGTCGCGATGACTGAAAAACTACTTACAATGGCCGACCGAACTGGTCAACGGAACTTCATGGGCAAAAGCTTTCGGGTGCACGGGCCGCAAGCCCTACAACGAAGCCCTATTACTATACAACTCTGCGGAGTAAACAATTCTGATAAACAATCCTACTACCGTTCTAATTTCTCTCTACTTGTATGGATTGCTTTGATGGAGTGATAGTATATTAAATGAGTGACACTATCTAGCTAATAATATAAGTTATTCGTAGATCATTCATAGTTCCGTCAATACATCACATCGTCATTCGTGACCGTCTGCAAGACAGTTATCGTTCCCAGGGAAATGGTGGACGCTGGTCCTTCATCCGAAGCTCTGTGAGAAATGTATCTCATCAAAAAAATGAGTCGGAGCCAGACGCTGTCACGGGGAGGCGTCATTTCGCGCTTAGAGTGGCGCAAAGCACTTTGAGAGCGAAATGAGGGCGAGAGAGAGAGAGAGAGAGAGATGATTTTTAGTTGCTTGTCTCTTCCCTTCATTCGCGTACCTGCCACCGCCGTTCCTCTCTTGTCAACTTGGTATACGAGCCATAGTACTCGTCTTTGTTCTCGATCGGCGTCACACAATGGACAGTCGGGGAGCCCTTGAATTGAATGTGCTTCTCAACGGCGGGGCCCATGACACCAGCGTGATGGCTCTTCTTGAGAATGCTCTTGGAAGCGCACGTGTTGGTGTAGACATATACCGGAGGCTGCAAGGACGAGAACTTCCTTGCCTGGGGACTGGCGATTGGCGAGGGAGAGACAGGCGTGCGAGGCACGACGGGCGACTTGAGCGACAGCGAGGGGCGTGCGTTTTGCACCGCAGACATGCTCAGAGAGAGCTTAGGCTTGACAGAGCGTGCAGCGTACATTTTTTGATATTGATTTCTGTCTTTTGTATTTGTTTTTGAGAAGTGGCGGTCAGGTAGTGAGGCAAAAGTTAGACGATGAAGGTGACTTTGATCAACAAAGTCGTGGTTAAAGTATGGAGGAAGACTATTAGAATATACGATTAACTTAAAAGGTAACAACTGTCTGGACCGGCCACACAGATTGAGTAAAACCAAAAATAGGTTGAAGAGAACAGAAATAGCAACACACACTGTATGTTGGAAGAAGAGGAAAGGTCTCTGGACGCAGGAGATGTCGCGCGGCTATATAGTCGCCCTTGGCTGTTGCACCACAGTCTCTGATGGGCAATATCTCTCTGTGACTTGCTGGAGGGGAGGACAGAAAAGAACCTTATTGAGAGGCTTGGTGCGAGGTGCTGGGAGAGCGTAGCCAATGAAGCACTCACAGCAGCCCTCTAAGCGCCGAGACGACGCACAACAGGCCCTCTCATCACACCTCTCCAGTTTTTTCAGCAACAGTCTGCAGGGTCTGTCCCGTCTGGCTAGGCTAATTGTTGAGCAAATATCTATGGTTGTTGATTGCTGGTGGGTGTTGGTAGGTTGAATAGACCGAGGAGGCTTCCCACCACGGCAGAGGACGGTGCGAGGGATTGGTGGGAGACTCGGGAAGATGAGAGAACGCAAGTGATGATATGTGACTGGAGACATATTCTGCACGAGATTAATCTAAATTTCCTCGTATCTGAGTGACAGGACGCAGTTGAAGTGATGTGGAGTGATAGAGAGGCGTCCTTTTCGGCAACTCCTATCTCGCCCACAGACGATGCTCATCAGTAGTAAATGGCAGAAGCCCATTAAAAAGTTCAAACTGGAGGCTGGTTGTAGCTATGGACAGTGCCTCCATTGGTATTTAGTAGAACAATATTGAGAAATTGGATGGCCATCTTCGACCCTGTGTCCACTGATGAATAGCGCTCAAATGTTTTCCATCACAGGCAAAGAAACGACTTTGGATACTCAAGATCATTAAAATGTTCAATATACTCGATATCTTGAAAGACTCATCTTCAGATCGTGGTGATACGGAGTACTCATCCAATAGATGGATTGTGTACCTAGTAGTTCAAAGTACTAAGGTGCCTGGTGCCTGGGATAAACAGTCCAGGAATGGCCAACAATAACCACATAAAAAGCATCAAATGACTCTTTCTCAAGAATAAAAAGGATTTTTAAAGTGTACTATAACTTAGCATAAGGCTTATTTATCTTTTAGGACTTGGTCAGATATAGAGTATCCATCTAACCAAAATATAACTATCCCTCAATCATGAACTCCATACAGCACCTCAGTGATTGACCAGGCATATAAAATAATTAGATATTGTATTTTATATATACTTACCTGGAGAGTTACTTATGTAAATATTTAGGTATATTAATAGCATAAATCACCTGACAACTACCTAAACTAAATAATTGTGTTGGGCTAAAGGAAGCCTCCCAAAGCGGAAGCCAACCTCCGCCATGGATCGATCCCAGGCTCGGCCCTGTTTTCATCTGGATGATCCAGTTAGCTGACTAGTGCATAGCTAAATACTCCAATGAGAAACCCACTCGAATGAGCTGTTCGCCCAACAAGGAAATGAGCTGCCAGAACCTTTGCCATGACCAGCTAACAGGTTGTTGTCGATCCGCCCGCTTCCGAGACGGATGCGGTATCCCTTGTGCATTCCAGGCATATATATGAAGCACCACGAAGCCGATTATCCTCAATCACCATGGCCCGATTAGTGGGAATTTCTTATGGAAAACCGTCATGGGGTTGAGAAACGCGGTCGAACCAGTTGGTATGGAATTAATAATTCATACGATGCTTTCCTCTCTTGAAGGAGCGCTGACAACGCAGCCATTGCGGCCATCTTCACCGCCGGAACGATCATTAACAGACGAAAGACACCCAAATCAGCTAACAGGCATGGAGTTCGTTCACCATTGCTCGAAGAGGACCCAGAAGACCAGGCCGTCCAGCATGCGTGCAGCGATGGGGAAGATGACGATGGGATAATGATTAAGAAGCCCACGCTTCAAACCCGAGTTCTGGCCTGGTTTCCGTTTCTGCTTGAGATTTGGTACTGGCTGCTCATTTATTGGGTATGGGATCGCATGCATTCAAAAGGTCCAGGATTAGGAATTGATAAGTTTAGATATACCAAGGCCTGCGCGCCCTGTCCGCCACCCTCATCCGCGACCATGCCTTGATCTTCTCCCGCGCCGAGCACCATGGGATTCAGATTCTCGCCCTCGAACGCATCGCACATATCGCCATCGAGCACGATGTGCAGCGTTTCGTGCTCGACCGCGCGCCCTGGCTGATTCCCTACCTTGCCTGCGTGTACTACTCGCACATTGTGCTCGGCGTTGTCTTCTTCGTCTACTGCTATACCTTCCTTCCGACCGCGCGGTACCAGCAGATCCGCCGCACGCTGGCTCTCGAGAACGTCATTGCCTTCATTATTTTGACTTCATGGCGGTGCACGCCTCCGCGTCTCCTGCCGGAGAAGTACGGGTTTGTCGACGTCTTAAACGGCAATGGCAATAACCCTGGTGGATCATGGACGCACAACAGGTTCCAGCTCACGATCGCCGCCATGCCCTCCCTTCACTTTGGGAACGCTGTGCTTATCGCCTTCTGTCTAGTCAGCTTCAGCCCGCACCGCCCCCTCCGCTTTCTTGCCCCCCTGTGGCCGCTACTAATGGGATTCACCATTATTGCGACAGCGAACCATTATATTTTGGATGCCGTAGCGGGCGTCTGCACCATCACGGCTGCGTACCGCTCGAACAGGGTGATGCTGGCTCTCCTGCCTGTTGAACGGACGTTCTTCAAGCTCCTTCGGTTAGAGAAGCCAGGCGAAGTCCCGTCCAAGGAGTAGTTGATGATCTCTGTATCTAGGTACATACATGACTGTATTTTTTTTTTTTGGTTTTTCATTCCAGTTCTACTTTTATCAATGGCACATAAGTTTACTGTCTTGACATTTCTTTGGCTATGGAATCGTGGACTTGGTTCCATATAAAAGTATTTCTATCTAGGTGTAGATAGACTGGATATGTCTGATTATAGTGATCTGATTATATATCAAGAGGGGAAGATAAGTAGGAGAAAAGATCTAAGGTAAGAAAAGAGTAGAATTATTCTACCTTAGGCTTAGTGATAACCTTTTATACTCATATTTAAACCTATTTATCTTAATCTTATCTTATTTCTTAAAAACAGATATCTGATATTCTCTAGATTTAACTAATTAATAATAATAGTGAAGAATTATACTGGATAAATAGACCTAGACTCTAGAGCAGTCTATGCCTATCTAAGGCAACTAGTCAAGAGATACTAAGATAGCTAAATATTTTAGTAACAAAGAGTCACCCCATCATCTTATGATATAGGATGAGCTATACGGAGTAGCTTCACCTCACCTCCACCAAGAGATAAAATTACTAATAATTAATAATTATAGTCAATAAACATAGTAACCATGCTACAATACTGTAACTACCACTATAACTAGGTAGGTACCTAACCTAGGTATGTATGTACTACTCCGTACTTGTACTACCCTCGGCCAAGTATTATTATTATGTACCCCTCGTATTTCGGTGTACAAAGTCGTGTTCATGCGGAGACAACCGGAAGCAAAGAGGGGAAACGGCCGCTTTCTCCAAATCCTTCTCCAACTCGACCCGCCACGACTCCGCACCGGATCAGCGTCAGGCATAATTGATTGTCCCACACCGGGCCGATATTCTCTACGTAAAGTCGTTAGTAATTTAATTTCATCATATAGAACACCATTAGCTGAGTAAATAGGTAAATATAGGAGAGAAGAGAGAAGAGCTACAGACTCACAGTCCTATAGAAGATACCTTCTACCTACCTCTAGGTACCTACCTAAGTACCTAGGTACCTAGGTAGTAACTTAGGTACCTCCCGTCCTAATCTCCAAGGCATAACGCTTAATAATCCGGCGGCAGTACCGTAGGTGATTGGCCCGCCGTGCCGAATTTTACCGTGGTTCTCGATTCCGACGACGGGAGCGAGCGATTTTCCCCCTGCCGACTGAATTGTGCCTGGAGGAGCTTCGGTACTACCACATTCAGGCCATCTGCTACGTGTTGTGTATATATGTACTTAGCAAACAATAACTATATATGCTCTATATACTACATATATAAATACTACCACAATTGCCAAGGTACCTACTAGTTAACTACCTACTACATATATCTCTGTCAATGTAGATCATAATAAATAGTCCCAGGCGGTGAGCTGATCCGGTGACCTGACTCGCGAGCCAAACGGAGCATATCGGCTAAAGAGGATTATCCGGGGGTCCCTGTTGGTGTGAGGCGAAAATGGAAAAAATACGAAAAGTATATGGAACATGAGAAGGAAAGAAAAGAGCAAAAAAAAAAAAATTAGGAAGTGTAGGTACTAGATAACTAACCATCACCACGGGCAAGGCAATCCTCGAGTCCCGGCATCTTCATCTAGTCCTGCCAACCCGCAACAACAACCCTTTTACCCCCCGCAATCCCCTTCGGTCTGCCAAATCCTTTCCACTCCACTCCACTCGCTCGCTCTGCGCAGCTCTGCGGTCTCTCTGGCCCCCTTCGCAGCGTTCGCCCTCAGCTGACACCTCAGAGAGAGCTTTTCTCACACCCCTCTTTAGCAATCCTCTGTCTTTCTCTCTCTCCCTCTCTCTCTTCCTCTCACTGTCTTTAGACGAAGGAGTACATTGAGATTTTTGGTTTTTTTTTTTTTCTTTAAAAAAATAGCTAATTAATCTTTTACTCCGAGACACCATGTCCAGCATCAAGGAGACTGTCAAGGCCTCCCTCGTGGGCAGTAAAGATGATTCACAGCTGTCACACCAGGCCCAGGCAAACTTCCTTCGCCATGCAGAGAAGGATGAGCAGACAGGGGAGTTGTATATGTCAGAGGACAGCTTCATTGAGGCGATTGCCCCTAAGCAAGAAGATTATGTGAGTCACTTTTTTTTGGGGGGGGGTTCAAGGACCGATTGCGTATCTGCAAGAAGAGAAAAATATATATAAACAGAAAAAAAAAACTCCTGGCTGATTCTTTATTCAATACCTAGCACAAAATTAAACGCGAACAATATGGTATCCTGTTCCAGGTCGCGGACAGACGGCGTGCGGGGAGACTGTCCCTCTCCGACTGGGCCACCTTCGAAAACCTCCTGGCGAAGCCCGATGCCGAGTACGAGATTGCCTTTCGCCTTTTCGATGTCGAGGGAACTGGCGCCGTCAACTTTGATAACTTCCAGAAGCTGTACAACCTGAGCAAGAGTGCCGATAGCATACCGTTCGACTGGAACTCCGAGTGGGCGTCGCTCTACACTGGCCGCACAAAGACTCGTCATGACATGACATACCCGCAGTTTGCGCAGATGCTTCGCGGTCTGCAGGGCGAGCGCATCCGCCAAGCGTTTCACCTGATGGACAAGGATGGCGATGGCTACATCGAGCCTGAGGACTTCCAGCGCATCATTCTGGAGACCTCGAAGCACAAGCTGTCGGACTATTTACTCGACAACCTCCCCTCCCTCTGCAACATCTCCGCCGGCAGCAAGATCTCGTACGCGACCGTTCGCGCCTTCCAGAACATCATGCGTGAGATGGACATGATTGATCTGATCGTGCGCGAGGCCACCAAGAAGAGCGACGACGGCAAAATCACCCGCACCGATTTCCTGAACGAAGCTGCAAGAATCACTCGCTTCTCTCTTTTCACCCCCATGGAGGCCGATATTCTCTTCCACTTCGCCGGGTTGGATGCCCCCTCCGGTAGACTCGCGCAGAAAGATTTCGCCAAGGTGATCGACTCGTCGTGGCGTACGTCCTTCGCCGTAGCGGGCCAGGCAATCTCGTCTGCCTCGGGTGCGGCGCACAAGGCGGCCGAGAAGACCAAGTCTCTTCTGCACAGCGTTCTGGAGTCCGCCCACCATTTCGCGCTCGGCTCCATTGCCGGCGCTTTCGGCGCTTTCATGGTCTACCCTATTGATCTGGTCAAGACCCGCATGCAGAACCAGCGCTCCAACCGCCCGGGCGAACGCCTGTACAACAACTCCATCGATTGCTTCCGCAAGGTGATCCGCAATGAAGGTTTCCTGGGTCTGTACTCTGGAGTCTTGCCTCAGCTCATCGGTGTGGCGCCAGAGAAAGCCATCAAGCTTACCGTGAACGACCTGGTCCGTGGCCATTTCACCAACAAGGAGAACGGAAAGATCTGGTACCCCTATGAGATTCTGGCCGGCGGTACTGCTGGAGGTTGCCAGGTGGTAAGTCTAGCCCCCCCCCCCCCCCCCAAAATTAAATGCTCTCGATTCCCGTTCCTGTGCTTGATGCTAACGGTTGTATACAGATCTTCACCAACCCTCTCGAAATCGTCAAGATTCGCCTCCAGGTCCAGGGTGAAATCGCCAAGACCCTCGATGGTGCCCCTCGTCGTTCGGCTCTGTGGATCGTGAAGAACCTTGGTCTGGTGGGATTGTACAAGGGAGCGAGCGCCTGCCTTTTGCGTGATGGTAAATATAGACTTGCTCTTTCGGTTTTTTGAACAGAAAGAAAAAGAAAGAAAAAGACTGACTCGTGACTAGTTCCCTTCTCTGCGATTTACTTCCCCACCTACGCTCACCTCAAGTCCGATCTGTTCGGTGAAACCCCGACCCAGAAGCTCGGAATCGTCCAGCTTCTGACCGCGGGTGCCATCGCCGGTATGCCGGCTGCTTACCTGACGACCCCCTGCGATGTGATCAAGACGCGTCTGCAGGTCGAGGCTCGCAAGGGTGATACCAAGTACACCGGCCTGCGCCACTGTGCCCAGACCATCCTCCGCGAGGAAGGCTTCAAGGCTTTCTTCAAGGGAGGCCCTGCCCGTATCATCCGTTCCTCGCCTCAGTTCGGTTTCACTCTCGCCGCCTACGAGCTTCTGCAGGGATGGCTTCCCATGCCTGGCTCTCACGAAGAGATCACCCCCGCCGGCCAAATTGAGCCTGGGGTCGGTCTGCAGGGCGCCAAGGCCCCGCTCCCCTACCTGAGGTCCAGAAACGCCCTGAAGCTCATCATGGATCTGGATGTGAACTTTGGTCGGATCAAGATCCCCCAGTCCCAGAGCTGGCCTTCCTTCTTGCAAAACTCCAAGCAATGATTTTTTTTTTTCGCAACTCTTGTTTTGAAAGCGATTGATCGTCAATTTTTTTTCCTATTTTTCCACCCATATTCTCCCTCCCTCTTTTGCATTATATTTTTTGTTTCCCCCCCCTCCCTCTGCATGAGCATGAGCATGGGGGTTCAAAATGAAAAGCCCTTAACCTGGATATCCTCCACACAAATGTTTTAGGGACCGCTACTACCCACCCACAAAGTCTACACATACCTCTCTGTTTTCCTTTCTGTTCATTATCATGTCCCCCCACCCATCCATTACCCTCCCCCTCCCCCTGGGGACACCGCTAAATACTCGTGGATTGTAACAACAGCAGATAGACTTTGAAGGGCGGCTGTCGTTTTTTACATAGATGACCAGCCTCCCTTTCTTTTCCATTGCAGAGCCACTCTTGGGGTCTTCTTGCAATTCTGAATACAATAGATGATCCTGTGCTACCTAGTCTGTTCTACTCGGATAGAGAAAGTTGAGGAGCGAAATCTTATAGTCGTAAGTGTAATAAGCCATGATCCTATGCACATTATACTCGTAGTTTGGCTTACTGCCGTTACAAACCCGTGCGGCATCGTGTCAGTTCAATAGGGATACTACACATGAAATAGGTGGTCATTAACTATCTGAGTACCTAGCCACTAAGAGCGACCTTGATGGAAGTGAGGAGGAGACCTCAAAGCTATAAAGGGTAATGAAACCATAGAAACCCCGTTCCTCGTCGGTCTGAGCTCGACGAAAGCAAAAAGAACTGGTATCATTTCGTCTGGCTTCATGGTCCCAAACGCTCAAACGGTAAGGTAAGCGAGGCAAATACATGAGTTGGACGTAAAGACGGCTTTCTATTTCCATGTCAAGAATTTCTGCAGAAGCCAGCGTCTCCATTGCTTGACGTATATCGAATCAAAATATATTCTCCAAAAAAGATGGGTGAAGATATGGATGGATAGTCGTTGGATTAGATATAAATTAATATTTCATACAGACCGACCCCTAAAATGACCTGGACACTACCTAGTATTGCTTGGATCGATGACAATAGTATGCAAAATCTGTGGAATTGGATATACGGGTATCAAGTATGGAGTAGCTATGTAGGACTGTATAGATAGTTATATGCACGTGGTGAGATAACAGAAATATGGCTGAAACGGGTGAGCCTGCAGATAAGAGATCTTCTGCCGTATAGTATGCTGATCTGGAGTTAGGTTAGACTGTTAGTGCTAGGTAGTCACGAAGAAAACGAAGAAGGACTGACTGTACTCAGAAATTGAAAGCTTGAGGCTTGGGTTGATTCTTTGTTATACAACGAACGTTTCATGTAAAGAAAGATCTTTAAGATGAGATTTGACTCGAAGGAGCGTTCTGCATTGAGGCGTGGCTTGAGGTATCAAAAGAAGCCGGCCTTTCTCAGTGGGCGCTTGGCTTTTGGGGGTTCATCATCGACTGTACTTGACTTGGAGGTATCTGGCGATTCTGTGGGTGCCGGGGAAGGAGGTTGGTCTTTGTGGTCGGCTTGGGAGGCTTTCTGGTGCCATAACGAATCTTCTTCCTCAATCTCTCGCAGCACTAGTTCGCACAAAAAGGTCAGAATGAAACTATGAGCAATATATGTGGCAAGTCATACCTTCTCCCCATTCTCTTTCCTTTGCTTCATCGCCCGTTCCTAGCATTTTCTCCACGTCCACCTTCTCCCCCCGCTGGATCTTCTCGATGACTTCTTTGAGAAGCCGGATCTTCGCATCCGTACTGCGCGTGTACCCGGCGTAATCGTTCTTCAACCCGATCATCCGAATGGCCTGCGAGCCGATCAAAATGAAGATGACGATGTAGAAACTGGCGGGGTTCCATTCCTTGTTCTTTTTTGCAACACCAGGGGATTTGCGTGCGGACCATCGATTTCGAATAAACTTGGGAATAATCATCGACCATACCGAAGCCTGAGCAAGGCGCGGAAGAGAATCAGAAGTGGACTGGAGACGGAGCTGTTGCGTTAATGGGCTGATACGGCGACATTGTCGGTTCATATGCTGTGGGCGGCACCATCCTGATGATAGTGGACAAATTGAAAATCTCCTTAAGCCTAGTTGTGTGGCCATGACTAGATCGATGGTTTTTGGGACCGAATCCGTCGAAATTAACTGTAGAGGAATTATTATCACCAACTCTCATTGACGCAAGCCTGAGAAAAACGCCCAGGTTGGAGTGAAGATAGGCTATTCCTAATTAGGCCTAGCATCAGCGGCCGTTGCTACGACAACCAAAACAGTTTAGCCCAGTGCGTGATTTGGGACCCGCGATGTCAGATCGAAGTGGCCTGGAGCATCATCCAACTCGCGAATTGCCGGCTTCTGCTGCTTGATCACCCACCATGGCTGTCGCAGGGCTGTTACCCGATTCTACCGTTGACTCAGTCAAGTCAGCTGTTAGATCTTCCACGACATGCTCGACATCGACGGTTTCGTCGCTCCAAACACTTCTCCGGGGGACAACAAAAGCGACTTTAGCGATTGAAGCCAAAGCGATCAAGAAAGATACCAAGACCAGGACCAGAGAAACGACCAGTCGTCCGGTTTCGAGAACGGCTAGAGCCAAGAGCATAGGGAATGATGTCGCGTCGCAAGGTGGGCGACTATCGACCCAGGAACGCCTCGTTCTGGCAACGGAGGTGTTTAATTCGACCCTCAAGACACTTTCGGATTCACTGAAGGTGCACCTTTGCCTCTTATTAATGGATCTGGCTTCTTCAATAGTGGCGGGCTAACATAGAGTTTGATTTCATAGACTCCTCTACGGTCAACTTCTCCGAACCGAGCTCAAGCACCTCCTCGAAAGAAACAAGACTCAAATTCGAAACAGACAGTGAAAGAGCCTCGTGGAGAGAATGGGGTATCCGCAGTGGCTGAATGTGCGCGTTTAGCACTCTCTTGTCTCCGGGCTCTGAAAACAGAACAGTCGTCACAGGGAGATCTGTTCCCGAATATTCAGTTAGAACAGGGTGCTTGTGTTTTGGCGGGGAAGCTCATTTCATTGGGTTTGAACGAGCTGGCATTCAAAGAACTCTGTAGCCTGAAGAAGCGGATCCAAAGGTACCTCGAAGACAGCAATCACGACCAGAAACCCAACGAAGAGCGTTCGAAATCAAGAGGTGCACCGGAAGATGAATCAACCAGGGAGAGCCTTATAAGCATGCTGTCATTCTCGAGTATTGGAAAAGAAAAGGGCCTCCATGCATTGTTGGTATCATTCCAAGCAAATGCACTTCGCCTCGCTGCGGCTGAGAAGAAAGCGTCTGTGGTACAGAGGCTTTATCCTGCTATTCAGACCTTGAATCCGTCAAGTCCAACAAAGGTCATTCTTGCAGTAGTGGAATCTGGAGGTCTCACCAAAGATAAAGCAGCTCTTCAGTTACAGATTCTATCAAGCACAATCCTTTCCATGACCCAAAGGTCCTCAGAAAATGGGACCTCTGCAGGAGATTTGAAGCCAATAACTTCGCTATGCATGCAGATACTTGCTCTTGAGACACGCTGCCTAGGATGGAAGCTCTCTGGTCATGTGTGTGATGAAGGCAAGGAGATGTGGGATCCTTTGGCACGCTATCTTGCAAGCTTCGTCCACCAAGATTCTGGAATTCAAAAATCCGAGTTCGCAATGCTTTACAAAAATATTCTCCGGGTGCAGTCTATTGTGTCTTCAGTAAAGAAGACATCGACTAGGGATACGATTTCGGTGGCTAAAATTGCTACTCTTTTGGGACAGCTTGCACAGGAAGCAGGTTGCTTTGAGGAAGCATTGAAGCTATTCAATGAATCCACCGATCCACTTAGCGCGGCGCAGTCTATCACTCTCGGCACAGTTTATTGCAAGATTGCATTAATTCATTTCCAAGTTTCACGATCCACTGGTCAATCGACACCAAACGCTGCATCCGACTCTCTGAAAAATGCTACAGCAGCCTTGGGGCTGCACTTGAAAGGCAGTGCTAGCGACCTTGATGAGCTCCTTGTGGAGGCGGCCAAACTGAAAAAGTTGGCCATATCCTATCTTGGGGATACGGTATTGAAAGAACGTGAGAAACGCTCGGAGGGAGTAGACCTCCCTGGCCAAGTTCGGGAATATCTTCAGGGTTTTGTACGGTTCATTCGTCGATATATTGGATCTCGCCCTCAAGATGATGCTCAGCCAAAAGAGCACGAACTCTTTCAAGCAAGAGTTCAATCCTCTTGGAACATCGCTCTCGCCGCCGTTGATTCAGCTGTGGCTGTGGGGAAGTTATCAGTTGTATCCTCTCGACCACCTTGGAACGACATGTTGGCCATCCTGAGCGATTGCCAGCGCTTACTAGTCACTCTTTTGGAAGCGAAGCCAGATTGCCAGGAGACTGATAATGTTGGAATGGGCTTGGTCAAACTCTCCAATCTGTTTTGGTCCCGTTATCTGAAAGAGAGGGAAGCAGGCAAAGACCACAGAGATCTGCTACCACTTCTGAAACACTCAACTGGGCTGCTATCGCCTTGTTTGACTTCTCACAGGGAAACTGGTTTTGCAGCGCTAAAATTCGAAAGGCTTGCACACTTATGTCTGGACGCCAATATGATAAAGGAGTCCGAGAAAGCGTTTCGTCACTCAATCCAAGAGCATATCAGCGCCGGTGCCATACAACCTGCTTCCCAGAATCCCTCTCAAAGCCACCCTCATAGTTTCTGCCGTGATTCAGGGAACGCAGGACTTTCTCTCATCCGCGTACTCACCTCGTACATAAAGATGAAAATCCGGCGGAAAGAGCTCAAGACACCGGAGCTTTTCGATGACGATTCATTAGAAATCAGCGAAAGAGGTTTTTTGTTGGAGTTACAAATGAATTTACTCGCTGATCTGTACCAGCATGCTCACAGTCAAGAAGCTTTTAGATGCATGTTTACTGCTGTCGTCACCAGACTTCTTGACTTTTATCAACCCGATGTCTATCCTATTCGCCGAACTCGTGTTATCCTTCATGCTCTACGGCTCGGTCTCAATCAGCAAAACTGCGTTGAACTATCATTGTTAAGTAGCCTTGAAGAACAAGGCGCTGCTGTCATCGAGATTGGCACACAGATTTACGATGATGTCGACTTAGCGGACTTTGCAACACATCTCGAGAATTCCTTACGACTTACTCTTGGGCTCCACCATGGACGACTGTCATCAGATGAACTCAGCAATATAGTGTCGTCTTGGGCTTCAATGACTCAAAGCTGCGGTGATTGGCAGTCCATTGAATCATGTGTCCATGATACAGATTACTGGATCATTCAGCTAAAGTCATTGGTTGACTACACGGAGATCTTTGGCCTGTGGAAGACTCAACTAGCAGCTCTTGAGCTGGTCTTGCGCGTTATGGAATTGCAGGAGAATACCGATTATTCGGAGATAACCATTCTGCTGTCCCGTCTTGCATTGCATTACTGCCGTCTTGGGTATTGCAAGAAAGCGGCAGTCATGCTTTCCCGCGCCGAAATGTACATGGAAAAACGTTCTGTTTCATGCCTAGCAACTCTCTCGTGCAAACTGGCCAGGGTTGATTACCTTCTTGAAACCGGGAAGGTCGATACGGCAGCGCAAGTTCTTTCATCTGCGAAAGGCCTTTACGACTCTCACCATACCGCCGAGGACCCAACGTCGCTCAGTTTTCAAGCCAAGATTGCGTGGGAGAGGTTGGTTGCTGACGCTGTTTTCATGCAATCCCGCTTGTCCTTTGCGCAGGGTTCAGCAGAGCGCGCTCTCTTCTTCTCAAAACTCTCGGTAAAACTCAACTGCAGAATTTGGGCTAAGATTGAAAGGCTGTCTCAACGGCAGCTGGAGAAAAGTACGAAAATCGAGAGCGATTCTAGCGTGAATACTGTAGCAGAGGGAATTGCAAACCTTAACTTATCCCAAAGCTCATCTCCCTCTGACGGATCAATCACCTACACTCAAGGTGCTCCCTTTTGGCCTCACATCGGCTCGCATCATACCAGCTTGTTGAACCTCGCCACGCTTTCGGCTCATTATGGCCTATTCCAAGACGCCGTCTACTACGGAGAACAGGCATTGAAGATAAGCAAGACTCTCAATGCAAACGTGCGCTTGATTGGCTGTCAGGCCCAGCTCGGCTACTATTGGATATGTGGCGGTCATCTGTCAAAAGGCCAAGAGCTCCTAGAAATGGCACAAGGAATGTCACAGCAACTTGAGGGCTGTATGGAACTGGTTTCTCTTCAGATGAGCCTTGCTGCCCTCTACAAAGCGCAGGGCCATCATGAAGAAGAGCTCCTCGCCCTCACTGAGGCTAACACGCTGCTTTCTAACATCATCCAGACCGATCATCCTGACGCTAGCCCCGCGTCTTCGGCTGTATCGGGTCTAGAAGAGAAGATGGGGAAATTACGCGTTCGTGAGCCTAGTCGAAAGACCCGACAGCAAACGACGGCAGTGACTACGACGACTCGCAGAACTCGCACAACGACAACCAAGACGGCTACCAACAAGGGACAACAGAACGCAGAGGCAACAACTTCTCTGGCAACAGAATCAAATTCGCTTCTTAGGCTGAAAGGAGATATTCTTCGCTATCAGGCTGCGTGCGCTCGTGAACTGAGTAACTTTGACAAGGCCGAGGCCCTTTTGAGTGATTCCCGCCAGTTTGCAACATCTACAGGCAGCCGAATCTCTCACCAGATAGGAATGAGTGAGCATCTGCTTGCTGATGCGATCCGCCACCTTGCAATGCACGCAGTATATTGCGTTCTTCCAGAGTCCACTATTTCCCTGCCATCTCTGCAACCAGTCGACGCGGTTGCGCAGAAGGAGCCGGTTACCACCGCCAAATCCTCAGCAACATCTACTCGCAGGGCTAAGGCTGCCCCTGCGAGAGGAACCAGATCACGGGCTCAGAAAGCAACTGAAGACTTTTCTCTTATGCTCTCGAAGGCTGGGGAGTGCTTGAACGAGATATTACCGCAGGCGACTACTCTTGGTTCGACGCTCGACAGCCATGCGGCATCATGCTTGTTGAGTCGCATCTCCATGCTATCACATGCCACAGTTCCTGGGTGTTCGACAACATGGGCCCAGGCCCCTGCCACTGTGAACGGTTAGTGACGGACAAGAAGCATCCCTCGTAAGATTTCGCTGACAAAAGAAATAGAATATGGACGTATTGGGGCCTTTGCCCGAGAGCGCATGGCAATTGAAATTGATAAACAGCTCGCCGACTTCTCCGATCCTTTGCTTTGGGTCAATTCGCAAGCCACAGGCACTCAAGCAGACACGAATATAAGCGCGGACTTTAACCAAAAGTATATCGAAATCCTGCCGGAAAACTGGAATGTTCTTTCATTGTCATTGAGCGCAGATCGTTCCGAGTTTGTGGTTTCGAAGTTGTGCAAAGGACGGTCACCCTTTCTTTTGAGGCTACCTTTGAAGAGAGGCAATTCCGAAGACGGAGATGAAGAAGAGGAGGAACAGTTTCTCTTCTCGGATGGAAGAGAAGAGATGCAGGAGATCATCAAACTAGCAAACAAATCCGCCCATGATGCCAAGGCCCAAACCGACAAGCAATCCAAGAAGGAATGGTGGAAGATCCGCGAGTCCGTTGACCGACGTCTAGAGAATCTTTTGGAGAACATTGAGAACGTTTGGTTCGGCGGATTCAGGGGTGTTTTCTCGCCGGCACCCCTCCAGACCGTTCACTTATCACGATTTGCAGCCTCATTCCATAACATTCTCGACAAGCATCTCCCATCTCGGCGCAAGGGTGGAAGAAATGTGAATGCCAAATTGACTCTGCATCAGAACGTCCTTGAGCTCTTCACTGGACTTAAAGATCTAGTGGAGCACAAAGATCCTGAGGAGTGTCTGATGGATCTCCTCTACTTTGTTGTGGACATTCTACAGTTCCAGGGGGAACGCAACGCATACGATGAAATTGATTTTGACATGATGGTTGTCGAGACTCTGGACGCACTGCGAAGCTACCACGAAAACATCCAACACGAACCAGTGCGGCAGCCTCAGCACACCGTGCTAGTTCTTGACAAGGCCCTGCATCTGTTCCCGTGGGAATCTCTACCATGTCTTCAAGGGTTACCTGTTACTCGGGTTCCGTCCCTAGAATCGCTCCGTGACAGAGTCTTGCAGTTACGGCACGACTTTGGGGATGCAGCTAGACAGAGAGCTTCCATCGACCGGAACAATGGCACCTACATTCTCAATCCTTCCGGTGATCTGAAATCAACACAGGAGACTTTCGAGAAAGATCTCTCTGGGCTGGAGCAGTGGACCGGTATCGCCAAGCGGGAGCCTTCGGAGGAGGAATTCAAGGAGGCCCTGGAAACGAAGAGCATATTCCTGTACTTTGGACACGGCAGTGGTGCGCAGTATATCCGCGGCCGAACGATCAAACGGCTGGATCAATGCGCGGTAACTTTCCTCATGGGCTGCAGCAGCGGTGCTTTGACCGAGTCTGGAGATTACGAGCCGTATGGAACGCCCATGAACTACCTTCATGCCGGGAGCCCTGCGTTGGTCGCCACGCTCTGGGACGTCACGGACAAAGACATTGACCGTTTTTCCGCCTCAACACTGGAAAAATGGGGACTCCTTGGAACGGATTCAACCAAGAAAGGCAAATCCAAGGCCACTGGAAAGGCGCACGACGACTTTCCAGAGGATACTCGTGTTGGCCTCGATGAAGCTGTAGCCCAGTCCCGGTCCTCTTGCGTGCTGAAGTACTTGAACGGAGCTGCGCCAGTTATCTATGGCATTCCGGTGTTTTTGGATTAATCGGGTGTATATAATATGAGACGAATTATGAATATTCCTTCCTATTTTCTTAGTCATGGATATTATCCATGGTATTTGATACAAGAAATAATTCCAGCTTGTGTAATTGTTTTCAAAAGCTCCTCCCTGCGGGGTAGTCGTTGATAGGAAAACTTTCCCCTCACGCTCCCCCACCGGCCCACGTCCGACAGAAGCTTCTTATCAAAACGTATATATAAACTAGATCTATATCTGCGGTCCCTGGCCACTCCGAGCATTGTGGAAATCCGAGACCTCGTCTAACACAAGGTTAACCATGTCCGTCACTACAAAAGCGACCATCGCCTCGTTCGGCGGCAAGCTGCTCAAGCTGAGCCACCAGGCGACCACGACGCGCTGCGAGATGGCCTTCAACCTCTACCTGCCGCCTCAGACGTTCCAGGACCCGGCTGCCAAAATCCCCGTGCTGATCTACCTGTCCGGGTTGACCTGCACGGCTGACAATTGCTCCGAGAAGGGCTTCTTCCAGCATGGGGCGAGCAAGCGGGGGATTGCCGTCTTGTATCCTGACACGAGTCCCCGTATGTTTTATTTGAAGCCTTTTTTTTGGGCAGCGTATTTTGCTAAGAGGTATTAGGCGGCCTTGATATCCAAGGAGAAAACGATTCCTGGGATTTCGGCACGGGGGCAGGCTTCTACGTCGACGCGACGGAATCCCCCTACAAGGAAGGGTACAACATGTACAGCTACGTGACGGAGGAGCTGCCGCAGACCGTGTTTGCGGCATTCCCCCAGCTGGACGCTACTCGGGTCAGTATCACGGGCCACAGTATGGGCGGGCACGGCGCCCTCACTTTGTTCCTGAAGAATCCCGGGAAATACAAGTCCGTCTCTGCATTTGCGCCTATCTCCAACCCGATCAACTGTCCGTGGGGCCAGAAGGCGTTCAACGGCTATCTCGGCTCGGAAAGTGAGAAGTGGAAGGCGTACGATGCCACCGAGCTGGTGAAGAAGTGGAAGGGGGATTTGAATTTGCTTATTGATGTGGTATGTATCAATTGAAAAACATGCATGCCTCAAACCCCTCCATTCGGCCAAGTTATTGAAATAATCTAGGGCACCGGCGACAACTTTTACAAACAAGGCCAACTCCTCCCGGAGAACTTCGAGGCTGCTGCGCGCGAGGCAGGCGTGGCAGGCGTGCAGGTTCGGTACCAGCCTGACTACGACCACAGCTACTTTACCATGGCGACGTTTGCGGATGACCATGTTGACCATGCGGCCCGGTATCTGTTTGCATAGTGCGTCTAGCTTGCGTCTTGACTCTTCACACTTTCTGATGGGTTTCATGGCTAGTTCAAAATTCAGGGCAAGTATATAGTGTCATGAAGACTATAGGTAGCTTATCCTAGATACTCGATCTACTTTAGACATCATCTTCATTTTTTTCGTACTAAGCAAAAGGGGAGGGGGGCCGTGATTGGAATGCTGAACGCCAGACATGCAATGCATCGGACTATATAATTCTTTTCCTAGATATGAGATCGCATGGATAGGTATCGGATGGACCGAGAAGAAGGAAGACATGAACAATGAACATGGACATGGGCACGTAACACCGGGGGGGGGGAATCTAGAGTAACAGAGAAAATACAGGATGGGAGAAATGTATGTTCATGCACTGAGGCGTTGAATGAATGTCTAAATATTTGATTAGTAAAATGATCGAGAGAGAGAGAGAGAGAGAGAGAGAGAGAGAGAGAGACTTACTGGGAAAAACTGCCGGAACCCCTTCATGTCCAGACGGTCCAAGGCATTCACAAATTCCTCAATCAGATCAGAGCCCATGCCTACGCCCGGCAGCTCGCGGGTGCGCAGGTATTCGGTGTACTCGGCGCCCGTCTTGCTGTAGATGGTGCGCTGCAAGGCTCCCGCCTCTGCAAGAACCTGCTTCGCCTGCGCATCCTTGGCGTTGAAGGACGGGGTGGCCGGGAGGGCCCAGCATAGCGGGGAGAAGCGGGTGATCATGAACTGGCCAAAGCCTGGCAGTCCAGTCTGGGAAGGGGGGGTGATGATTCCGTTCGCCGGCTCGACGGTCAGGTCCGGGCCACCCCAGGAGCTAGCCATCTTCGACAGCACGGAGAAGGCCATTTTCGCTGTTGTAAAGTCTTCTACGTCTTTGGCAAAGTGCTCGATGGTCGAGATGACGGTTTCAAAGATTGGTTGGTTCCCTGTAATGGAGTAATTAGAATGGATACCTTCTTTCGATGGGGGAAAAAAAAGATAGGACTGACGCTCGCTGATGATGACGGAACCAAGGTCGTTGTTCAGCACAGCAAGCAGGAAATTGAGATACTCGCGTTTCAGTTCTGCCAGCTGGATCTCGTCATCAGTGCCCGTTGTCGGATCCGCGATGCCTGAAAAGACACGCTGCAGGAATGGAGTGAGGAGGGCGTCGAGAATCGCATATATTTCAGTCTTGAACCCAAAGATGACTTGGTCCAGGAGCCGCAGGAACAAGGCCATCTCGTCCCGAGATGAAGTCTGCGTCAAGAGGCCGTCGATCCACCGCGGAAGCTGAGGCAAAATTCTGGCGCCCAGAACCCCAATCAGGCGGGAGAACGCAAAGCGGGAGGCCGTTCGGATATTGAACGAGCCCTTGAGGGACTCAAGTGCGACAAGGGTCGCTTCGGATACCTGAACAAATGCTTCGGAGACCTCGGGGGCCGGGAGAGCGGAGGGAGAGGTCGTGCCGGGCATCCAATCCGAGAAGCCACGGGCCAGTGTGCCCAGCGCCATGATGTGGTGGTGGATCTGGAGGATAGATCGCTCGTCGTCGGCTTTTGCGGCCGCCAGGTTCCGCTCCATATCAACGAAGATTGGATTCAGGACGGATTGAGCGTACAGGACCTGCTTGTCCGCCGTCACGCCGGGGGTGGAGCAGATGATCCCGATTGCCTCGAAGAGATACAATTGGCTGTTGAAGACAGCATCAGCCGATCCTTCGTGGTCCTCGGAGGACATTTCATCCCCATCGGCGCCTTCTGACGGCACCTCTGCCTGGATGACCAGAAGGCTGCCAAGCGCTTCAACGACCGTCTGCGCCACGTTGCCGATGTGAGTCCGCAGATGCTTCACTAGCCGCTGGAACAGATACCAGGATCTCGTCTTGACTTTCTTAACTGGATGATGCACGAGCTGCAGGAAACTTTCAAGAACCCCGGGGATGAGGTGTGTGTGGTGGTGGAAGAAGGAGCTATAGCGAACGCAAATCTCCATATATTGAAGCTGTGTAGCAGGGTGGGTGAAAGAGCGAATATCTAACAATGAGCTTATGTATATATATAAAAAAAGAGATGGGGGGGGGAGTTAAAGCTACTTACCAGACTCGACCATGCGGAGCATCATCTCAATGAGACGCTCAGCAGCAGGGTTATTGGGGGTATTCTTGGTGTAGAGACTGCCGCCCTTGACAGCAAGATCGCCAAAGAGGAACATCTCGTGCAGGGCAAGGTCGAGGTCCCGCCAGTCGAGGTGGGATCCGGGCTGGCGCAGATTCTCAAAGGTGGTGCCGACAACTTCGGAGACGGCATCGATGTAGAGCTGCTCGTTGACGGAGGCAACGATCTGTTGAAGGACAGCAAGGCGCTTGCGTAGGTCCTGAAACTCGGCCTCGTCTGTCTGTTCGTCCTCGTCGCCCCAGGAAGAGGTCTCGTCGTAGCGCATCTTGGCGATAATCGCCTTGAGGATGGGGAGCATGATGGTGGAGTTTTGGGCGGCGAGAGATGAATTGGTCTTGACAACCTTGCGGAAGTAGGACAGGAGGTCGTTCACGCAGGGGATGACGGTCGAACACACCTCGTCATACTCGTCGGAGAAGAAGCGGAGGATATGCGTCAGGAAGGTCTGCAGGAGCCCACTGGCTTTCTCCTTGGCATCGGCGGCAACTGCGTCGTTCTCCAGCACTCGCACGATATCGATGACGGTGATGTTGACCAGTTTCGCCACCGTCTCCGCCAGATCCGTGTCGTACTTTGAGGTGAACCGGTTGTCACGCAGGGGGGGACTGTTGGAGAGCTGGGAGACGATGGTATCGAGGTTGAGGAAGATGATCATATCAATCTTGTCCTCGGCCTTCATCTTCTTGCCGATGATCTCGGTGAAGACGTCGACCGCAGCGTCCCGCACCTTCTCCTCGCCAAGGCGCAGGTCGGCGTTCTGCGCCCGGGCGAGCTGTTGGAACAGCAGGTCCAGCATGGTCTGGTTCACGACGAGACCGATATCGATCCAGCTGACCCAGCTCCCCACAGCCTTGAGAGACATCTCGACGATGGTATCATTGCCGTCACGCCACGCGGCCAGGATCTCTTGCCATGAAGTCACGATCTTCTGCACATCCCGCTGGCGGATCAGGTCTTTGAGCGAGTTGGCCTTGTCCTGCTCCGGGCGCGAGCGCGAGACTAAGACGTCGCCGATCTCGTCATGGATTGAGTTGACGACCCGTAGGTAGAAGATGATGCCGAGTGCGTTGTCGCGGGTTGTGCTGGCGGAGGTCTTGTACGTCAGACCGAGCAGGTCGTCGAAAAAGGTCTCCCAGCCACCGGGGTAGAGGGCAGAGAAGAGGAAGGTCACGGTCTGGGCGATCTTGTTCTGGATGCTAGGGGAATCAGGTTGTGCCGCGGTGCTGTCCGGCCCGTACATCTGCTGCAGATACGCCAGCAGGCTCTGCTTCACGAACCCCAACGCCTGCAGATCGATCATTCCAGCCTGCGCGGCACTATTGACCACCTCCAACGCGACATGACGCACAATCTCCGAATGCTGCGGAGTCTTGGTAAAGATAGCCAGGCAAACCTGCCATCCTGCGGGATCGGAGCGGAGCTGGTTGAGAAACTCGAACGCTTGCCCCTTGAGGGCCTGGTCGGAGGTATGGTTGCCGGCGATTTCTATGGCGTTGACGATCTGGAAATACTTAGCATCTAGATATAAATTTCATTCTTTTCGCCTCTTTTTCCAATTTATTTCCCCTCGTTTTTTTTTTCCCGACGTGCCTAATCAACGAGGGGCACGAGGGGCACTGCAACCCGAATTCTCGGGGGACAAAATCCTACCTGATCTTCCATATTCGACCGGCCGGCTGCCTTCAGAGCCAGAGGGACTCGGAAAGCGATAGGGAGAGGGAGCAGGAGAGGGCGTGCGGTGCCAGACGACGGACGGTGTTGATTTTGTGGGCAATTCTTCAATGTGGGGGGGGGTGTGGTTTATCTCAAGAAGTTATCGAGCCATGGGTGGCACAGGCGGTGAGACAGACGAGCAAAGGGCACCGAGTCAGACGTCTGTACAGACAATGAAGAGGGAGAAACAGTCGAGGGTCACTTGTATCTCTGGCCTGGAATGACGCAGATTCGAGATGACGGTGTATATGGAGCACGTTGACCTTGTGTGGTGTTCCAAGCCCAAGGTTTTGGCTCCAGGCACTCCCAGTGGCCTGCCGCTTGGAGCCACTATTGTTATATTGCAGGGATGGGCCAGATAGCTATCAGCTCATGCCTGAAGATGCATTAACATTTGAATATTTGTCTGTGCTTGGGGCTTTCATCAGGTGTTCCTTCACTAGAAATAATCCCTCGACACAATAATACCTCCAGCTAAGCGGATAGAACATCTCAGGTAAGACCTATGAACTATCTTTCTAATATGACCCAAGTCTTTTGAGATAATATTAATTTCCTAAGAGATATACAGATTGAATAATGTCTGAGACAAGGAATTTTCAAACTATAGGAATTAGAATACAGCTCTTAACAGAATATTCTGATATATTCTAAAAGAGATATCTTCCTCGTTGGAAATATAAAATTCATTAGTTCCGATGGTTGAGACTGTCTTGGACGTTGTTTTCCCAATTTTATTCCTACCAGATATATTCAAAGTATTTCTTTCACATGTAGCCGGAATCAATTTCTATACGGAGTACTACAGACCGAAACAAACAATAACCGTGAGATTATTATGAAATGGCCATTGGTCACAATCGAACCTCGGCTCTGCTTATCGAAGACTTACGCTGTCTTCAACCCCAGCAACAGCACTTAGCGCAGACCACAAAAAGGGCCTCTGTCAGCACCATCACGGACTGCCTCATGGTGGCCGCCGGCTCGTCTTCGAGATGACGTCTGAATCTTCTGCCCCCCCTGAGAAACCAGGAACATCTGCCTCCTTCTCTCGCGAGCTGGACTCTGACGGGGTGGGGAAGACGATAAGCCCCGCGGGTTCAGCAGCGACAGGGGCAGCAGCGAGGTCGCTGAGAGCGTTGGCTGCAGTAGATGTGATTCTACAACGGATAGATAGGTGAGGTGGAAATAATTCATGTTGGGTGCTCATCGACCGAGTGATTTGCTTGCTAATTGACCACAGTCTCATCTCGACGGCAGACGGGCAGGAACGGCTTCTTGGCATGATCGGACATCTGGCACATACCCTGCACCATTTCCTCGTGTTACTGCACCCTCTCCGTTTACGAATCGCGAAATACAGGAAAAATGCGAACACGGAGCCTCCCAGCGGCTCCCCTTCGCTCCTGGCTTTGAGCGCCCTCATCTCCGAAACGCGGTACACCCTGCGCCTGTTTGGCCTCGTCCAACTCTGGGCCTGGGGGTCCGAAGCCATCCACAATCCACCTGCTGACCGAACTATCCGCGCCATAACCCTCGCCCAGGTGGCGTCGAACATAATCTACCAGATTCTCGAGAATGTACCCTATCTTGCTTCAAAGGGGGTAGGCTCGAAGCGGTTCATTGAACGTCGCGGCGGGTTCACTAAATGGGATCTATGGAGTACCCGGTTCTGGCTCGGTCATATCCTCTTGGAATTCCTGAGGCTGTGGCGACAGAGCGTTTTGATGAGACGACAGACGGAGGGAACCACGGGAACCGACGCCGAGGAAAGCGAAGAGGACAAGGAAACACAAAAGGAAGACCTGCGCAGGGCCGTCCGCGCGTGGCGGAAATCCCTCCTCAACAATTTCATCTGGGCACCGCTGTGTTTGCACTGGAGTTTCGAACGGGGGATCGGCGTCCCGGGGAGTGTGACGGGGTTTTTTAGCTTCTTGGCCGGGACGTGGGCGCTGGTTGATGCGTGGAGGGATACAGCTAAGTATGCCCAGTAGCACTTAGTATTAAAAAATTAGTCAGATATAGACTGTTTTGGTTTATGAATCTCCTGATGTCTACTGAATGCAACGAGTGTTGATTTCGTAGGGATAGTCATTCTATTCTACGTATCCTGTGTAACTACATATGTGATGTTCATCCATGACTTCCTCTTCCTTGATACTCTCCAGTGAAGATCCATAGCTTGCAGCTCCAGCTGGCGATTTCTTGTGATCCTTTGGAGATCCCCGGTTCTGAAAGTCCGTAATTTGCCGGTAGAAGGGACTGGCGAGGTACTCGTCGATCTCCCAGGCGGTGCTCCCCATCGACGTCAAACCCTCAACCGAGCCATGCCATACAAATGCACCTGCATCGATGGTTCGGATGTTGCGGGTACCTTGCTCGTCTTCTTGGCAGATCTCCACGCCAACGTCCACCAAGGTCATCAGGCCACTTTCCAGCTCGTAGATCGCGTTCCGTTGGCGTTCGTCCAGGCCGAGAATGAGGACCCCTTCCACAGAGGCTCGCGGATCTGCTGATCGAGTAATGACGGGAGGACTGGACCCCGCAAAACGGTGCAGCTCGTAGCCCGCCAGTGTGGCGGGAGTCATGCTCTGCTCGATGGCCGATGTCTGAAGTTCATCAATGTAATATTTCAGCGCTGTCGGTAGCATGAGAACCCCATACACGAAACGCGGCGAGCAGCCTGCTTTCGCTAGAAAGTCATTGACTTGTGCTTCAGAGAAGGTATTGTTTAGAACAAACCGAAAGTCATTCGGATACATGATCAGCTTGAGCTTCTCCGAGCAGCAGATGGACTTATCAAGCCCCCTAGGTAAACAAGGACATTGCTGTTAGAAGGAGGGAATTAATAAAGTCGGTTTTTGATGACTGAACAGCCTACAGAGGCCATGTTGTTAAAACTGCCTCTACGACAGCCTTGTGGGCAAGTGATGAAAGGCAGTAGCGGTGGCCTAGAGCTCACATCACAATGAATGCATAATAGCTCCTGTTATAGCAGTGAGACCCCCTGATTCTAAGATTGCCCTGCTTTTAAGGCTGTTGCCTTCAGAATCTGCCCAGGTTGGAATAGGGTCATAGTTCGCTTGGCCGCGTCTATTGATAAGCTTCTCCGGGTAGCCATACTGGAATCTTCCGATAACTGTTGGTCTGTGGCAAGCTGTATTCACCTGTCTTTGTGTATCGCACATTCGATACCTCTGTTATTATTCCAGGCTGCAGTTGTCGTTGTCAGCCTCCATCGAGCAGCTTCCATCCGCTTCTCTGGCCGGTGGTGGCGGAGACAGCTGGCAGAAAGGATGTGCTAGAACCCTTCTGGTAGCACTGCTTAGATCATCCGTCTGCTCCCAACAGCCTGCAGCATCGTCACCTCTTAACGAGAGCTGCCTGTCCTTTCCCTCACCTTCTTTGCCTCTCTGCAACCCCCCCTCTACTGTTCTGCTGTTCCTCCAGACGCCTATTGCTGTCTGCCGGAGCATCTTCCTGTTTCGCGTTTCGTTTCTATCCTTTTCAACGAGGTTCTTCTCCGCCGGACCCCTCCTCAGGTTCCCGGGTCCTGCTATCTACGTCTAGCTACAGCTTTGTGGCTACGCTACTCCAGGAGCCTTTTTATCTATTCAGCACACATATCCCATCATCTACCCTCATCATGAGTGCAGAGCCAGACCACACTCACGACAAGAAGAGAGTGCATCTTCAGTATGTTTAATGTCGTCTTTTCCCGCACGTGTTTGGTGCTAACTGCGGTGACAGAGATGTGTCGGGCGGCGAGCGTAAAGAGGATCTGGACACCGCCACGGCCATCCTCAAGAAGAAGAAGAAGCCCAACTCTTTGATGTGAGTCTCCATGGAGTCGTCAACCATGGTCATGATGATGATAAGCTGACTAGAGATAAAATATAGTGTCACCGATGCCGTGAACGATGATAACTCCGTGATTGCCCTCTCTAACAACACCATGGAGACCCTGCAGCTCTTCCGGGGTGATACAGTACTCGTCAAGGGCAAAAAGCGCAAGGATACCGTGTTGATTGTGTTGGCGGATGATGATCTCGATGATGGCAGCGCTCGCATCAACCGGGTTGTGAGGCATAACCTCCGGGTCAAGCACGGCGATATGATCACCGTCCACCCTTGCCCAGACATCAAATATGTACGTTCCTTATCTCTCCCGCTATTTTTCCAATAGCCTTCCAGCTTACCAATTTTTTGTTTCTCAGGCCAAGCGGATTGCTGTTCTCCCCATCGCCGATACCGTCGAGGGTCTTACTGGCTCTCTTTTCGATGTCTTTCTTGCCCCATACTTCCGCGAGGCCTACCGGCCAGTCAGACAGGGCGACCTCTTCACAGTACGGGGTGGTATGAGACAAGTGGAATTCAAGGTCGTTGAGGTCGACCCCCCGGAGTACGGTATCGTCGCTCAGGATACGATCATTCACTGCGAGGGCGAGCCCATCCAGCGCGAAGACGAGGAAGGAAACCTTAACGAGGTCGGTTACGACGATATTGGCGGTTGCCGGAAACAGATGGCTCAGATCCGTGAACTGGTCGAGCTGCCCCTTCGCCACCCTCAGCTTTTCAAGTCCATCGGCATCAAGCCGCCCCGTGGTATCCTCATGTACGGTCCCCCCGGTACCGGTAAGACTCTGATGGCCCGTGCCGTTGCCAACGAGACCGGTGCTTTCTTCTTCCTTATCAACGGTCCGGAGATCATGTCTAAGATGGCCGGTGAGTCCGAGTCCAATCTGCGCAAGGCCTTCGAAGAGGCCGAGAAGAACTCGCCTGCCATCATCTTCATCGATGAGATCGACTCCATTGCGCCCAAGCGTGAGAAGACCAACGGTGAAGTTGAGCGTCGTGTGGTCTCCCAGCTGTTGACCCTCATGGACGGCATGAAGGCCCGCTCCAATGTGGTCGTCATGGCTGCTACCAACCGCCCCAACTCCATCGACCCGGCCCTTCGTCGCTTTGGCCGCTTCGACCGTGAGGTCGACATTGGTATTCCCGACCCCACTGGCCGTCTGGAGATCCTGCAGATCCACACCAAGAACATGAAGCTTGGTGATGATGTGGACCTCGAGGCTATCGCCGCCGAAACTCACGGTTACGTCGGTTCTGATCTGGCCTCCCTCTGCTCGGAGGCCGCCATGCAGCAGATCCGTGAGAAGATGGACTTGATCGACCTTGACGAGGACACGATTGACGCCGAGGTCCTCGACTCTCTCGGTGTCACCATGGAGAACTTCCGGTACTCCCTGGGCGTCTCCAACCCCTCTGCTCTCCGCGAGGTGGCCGTGGTCGAAGTGCCCAACGTCCGCTGGGAGGACATTGGTGGTCTCGAGGAAGTCAAGCGCGAACTTATCGAAAGTGTCCAGTACCCCGTCGACCACCCCGACAAGTTCCAGAAGTTCGGCCTCTCTCCTTCTCGCGGTGTGCTTTTCTATGGGCCCCCTGGTACTGGTAAGACCATGTTGGCCAAGGCCGTGGCCAATGAGTGTGCCGCCAACTTCATCTCCGTCAAGGGCCCTGAGCTGTTGAGCATGTGGTTTGGTGAGTCGGAGAGCAACATCCGTGATATCTTCGATAAGGCCCGTGCCGCCGCCCCGTGTGTGGTCTTCCTCGACGAGTTGGACTCGATCGCCAAGTCCCGTGGTGGCTCTGTCGGTGATGCCGGCGGTGCTTCGGACCGTGTGGTCAACCAGCTTCTTACTGGTAAGCAATCCCTTAGCCCCCTCAAGAGTTACGAGATGCTAACAAAGAGCAGAGATGGATGGCATGACTTCCAAGAAGAACGTGTTCGTCATCGGTGCGACCAACCGTCCGGAACAACTCGATGCTGCTCTGGTCCGTCCTGGTCGTCTGGATACCTTGGTTTACGTCCCCCTGCCAGACCAGGATTCCCGTGAGGGCATCCTCAAGGCTCAGCTCCGCAAGACCCCTGTTGCCTCGGACGTCGACCTGGCTTTCATTGCCAGCAAGACTCATGGCTTCTCGGGTGCCGATCTTGGGTTCGTGACCCAGCGTGCTGTCAAGCTGGCCATCAAACAGTCGATCTCTGCCGAGATCGAGCGCCAGAAGCAGCGTGAGGCCGCCGGCGAGGATGTTAAGATGGAGGATGAGGAGGAAGGCGAGGACCCCGTGCCGGAGCTGACCCGTGCCCACTTCGAGGAAGCGATGAAGACGGCTCGCAAATCTGTCAGCGACGTCGAGATTCGCCGCTACGAGGCCTTTGCCCAGAGCTTGAAGAACTCTGGCGGCAGCAGCTTCTTCCGTTTCCCGTCTGCCAGTGAGGTGACCGGCAACCAGGATTCGTTTGGCGACGCCGGCAATGATGACAGCCTCTACGACTAAACCGTGTCTTCTCTTTTCTTTTCTTTCTTATTTTTTTTCCCCCTCTGGATTTCCAAAGTATCATTCTGCTATTCTAGTTAGATCTCGATGACTCCTCTGGTTCATATGGCTAGGGAATCTACTCGATTATGAATAACTTGCTCAGTGGAAGGATACAGCCTGTTTATCTCCTCCGCGTAGATCGTATTTAACAATGATCCGATGATCATTCAATAGTAGATAGTAGGTAAGCCTATGCGCCCAAACTCCAGATATATGGAACAAAATATATGATCCCTTTCCCAGACTCCCCCTAACCCCCCCTACTCCCCCCTAAACCATTTCTTTAATAGCAACGCCGTGAAACGATCGACATGACAGAAAAAAAAAAAAACACCCTGATGCATGTAGAAGAGGATCAAAATGGAAACGATAAGCAGGCTCACTTGACGTTCTTGCCTGCCTTTGCCTTCTTTTCTCCCTTCTTAGCGGGAGAAGCGCCCGCATCCCCGTTTTTCAAATGTTTCTTGGTCTTGGAATCCGACGAGCCCGTCCCATTATCTAGAGAGTCGCGAGGGTTCAAGGCCGGGAACGGAGGTGGCGGGTGGTCTGCGTCGTCTTCGAGGACGACAATCTCTCTTAGCGAGTCTTTGATGGCGCGGACGCCCTGGTCGACGACGGTCTGGGGAACGCGCACATCGACGTTTTCAAAGAACGAATCATCGGCATCTTCCTCGTAGGTACTCATGTTATTATTATTATTATTATTATTATTATTCGTGGTTCGGTCGAGAAGGGCGGGGTGTTTTCTCCCCTCTGCGAGGGCGACGACGGCGTCAACCACCTCGTCGAAGCGCTCGCAGCGCCCGGCGCGGAGCAGCTCGACGGCCAGTCGACGGATCTTCTCGGTCCAGCCGATCCGTTGTAGCGAACAGAGGAGGGAGGCGTGTAGGTCGTCGAGAGCGGAGGTGGAGGCCAGATGGGCGAGGAGGTCTGCTTCGAGCGTTTCGGGGGTGAGGAAGGCCGGCGAGGTTGGCGACGAGGAGGCCGGCGACGTGGACATGGTAGATGGCATTGTTGGTGGTATTCTTTTCTTTCTTTCTTTCTTTCTTTTCTTTTTTTTTTGGTGCCTTGATTCAACGATATTCGCCCGATTTCACTGGGGGGTCTCGTAACTGGTTGGAAGCAAAAAGCTGGAGACGCAGAATCGCGATGACGGAGATTTGCACTGATATCATGCCACTAGATGCAGCACAGGGCAGTCAGCTAGCTTCCTCGCGATGATCATCGAATGTATCATGAGGTGGCTGATTATTTATTCGACGAGGAGAGAAGAGAGAAAAAAAAAAGTCGGAAGCTTGCCTTTTTATCGAGCTGCTGTAGTTCGGTAAAGGCTACAGCAAGTGTCTGCAGACTAGACTCGTAGATGGAATGTTGTCGGAGGGAAGACTTTGATAGTAATTAAATAAAGAAACAGCAGAGTATAAGGAAGGACATTGAATTGCTTCTATTCCATGTGAATAGAATACTAGCAGTACAATGGTGTTGGCTTATCTACAATAGCATCATTTCTTCCATAATAGGCCAACTCAACTTTATTATTGAGCAGACCAGCCACAACCATTTATTTAGTCTTCCTAACTAATGGTAACATAGGTAGCGACGGAAGATTCATCTTTAGAACCGAAACAAACCTATAACTTATTCAAGTGCTACAGAGTAGATTCTAGACGGATTAGATATATCATAGCCATCAATAACCCTACCCACCTATGCTTGACTAATAACAACAAGCGAACTAGTTAAGGAGTACAATAAAGCTATTCTAGACTCTGGACTCCATACTGTCCATAATACAGCCTTATAATGGTCTGCAGGATGACTGGAGCCCTCTGTAGGATCAAATAGCATCTATCATCCAGGGACCCAGTACGGACTTTGAGACTCAGAGTAGTTAGTAGTGAGCTAGTCTGGCGACCTCAATACCTATGTTAGGTATATCACCGGTCATTATTATTATAGCGGCGAATGTGCTCCGGATGGAGTACTCCTTGGCAGACAGGCGGCCGAGAAACCCCCTTCTTCCGTAATATTATTGCCGAGCTTCTATCCAAGAAGTTTGACGACAGGCGCGTATGTCCATCCAAGGGGGGGGGGGATTAGATAAGTGCAAAGGATCGGGGCCAGAAGGTCGATTCCAGGGCACTATTGAAAACCTGGCCAGCGCTTGTCTCCGCCCTTGCCAATGGCCCTGATTTAGGCGCCGCTATGTATAGTATGCACCATGCAGCATGTACCATGAACGTGTGTCGTCCGGTCACCGTTGGTCAGGGATCAGCTCCGCTGTTGGCCCCGTCAGTCACTCTGCCCTGTTCCTCGATGGATGGCCTACCGTAGTACTCGGTAGTACCGTCAATAATGCGTACGGGGCGCTCTCTCCGTGGGACGTGCGTTGCAGGACGGTCCACTTCAGGAGGTTGTCTTTTGTGTAGAAATCAGATACATCACTCTGGAATCCGTGTACGTCCAGTAGAAGACAGAAGACACGGGATTGAGAATCATCTCGCCTAGAGAGGACGTCCAGACAGTACGGAGTACCAGGAGCCAAGTGCTAAGTGCTAAGTGCGAAGCAGAAGTGCCAAGTCGTACGCGGCAGTCACGTGCCGCCCGGATCCGGACTTTTGTGTCTCGACTCTCTCTCCACGTCGGCTGCGACTTCTCCAGAAGAATCTCCACGAGCGCGTCTGCTCTCCTCCCGTCACTCGTTCTGTCTGTCTGCTGCTGGCTGCATCGCCTGCGGGGAATCGCCATCGACACAACAGCCGAGCCTGCTCTCGCCGAGCGATTTATTCCAGCAATTCGTTGATTCCCATCAGAAAGCTTCCCCGCCCCGTTCCTTTGGCTGCTGGCTGGAACGAACCCCGACCAGCGCTTCCGCCAACCCTTCGCTTACCCTGGCCGCCTGGCGCCTTGCCTTGCTCCGACACGGCGGGCTGGCGACGTTTTCGTGGAAATTGAGCGAGACAGAGAAGTCGTGTTAAGTCTCTGCGCTCTGTTTCCGTGTGATCGACAGTGGCTGCGAATCCATATGTGGCTGGGTCCTTCTTGGCCACAGTGTTGCCCGTGTTCTTGTTCGTCCCCGCTCAACGCTGCCAGTCTTGCAGTCCAGTCCAGCCACCATCGCTGGAAGCCGACCACGGATTTGCGGGTGTGATCGCCTTCTGTCGAGATCTTGTCCATTGGGAGTGTTCGTGACACGGCCGTTTGTTCTACCACGACGTACCCGCCGTGGTGCTCCTCCTCCTCCTCCTCCTCCTCCTCCACGCTCACCATGTCTCTCCACACCTCTTATCACGCCGACTCGGACGCCGACGATGAGTATGAACGGAGTGTCATCACATCGCCGCGCATTCCCACCGATTCAGAGGCCTCCCCGACCGATTCGGAGCCGCGTTCGTCGGAGCATACCCCGACCACCTTTTCCTACGCGGGAGACGACCGGCGGTCGCCTCGGACAGTCATCACAGAATGGACTGCAAGCGAAAGTGCAGAGTTTATAACGGGGCTGGGCCTGGGGCAGTATCGTAACGCGTTCCTGGGTGAGTGATGGTCAATTATCCACTGTCAACACTTGAAAGAGCTCGAACGTTGGAACCTAACGGGATGCTATACCAGAAAATGAGATTGTCGGCGATGCTCTGATTGCGCTTAAACATGATGAACTCAAGGAGATCGGCATTGCAAGCGTGGGTCACCGGCTGACCATCTTGAAGAGTGTCTATGAGGCAAAGGTTAAACAGGGGGTTCCCATCGATCCAGATGATTATTTACCTCTATGTGAGTGATTTCTCGTCCATAATTGTTTTTATTTTATTCTTCTTTTTTTTCTATCTAGTGGGCCTTGCGGTCTAATGATTGGCAGCGGCGGACCAAAACACAAATGAGAATGCAACGCAGGACGATGTCGCGCGACTAATTCAGTCGATCCGACTACGGGACGAGAAGATCATCTCGGTGGAGGCAGAACTGCGCCGAGTGGCCGAGGATTATCGGCGGTTACGAGAAGAACTGCTACCCGTATTCAAAATGGCCAAGGACCGATCCCAACCGCTACCGCCTCCGTACAGCACCTTGCCTGGTGACATGTACGGCCATGACACGCCGGCCCTTGGCGCGGCGTCCGGGATGAACATGCTGGAGAAGGGCACGCCGTCTGGCATTTCGCGGTCATTCTCAAAGCGGGTATACACGGGCGGGCCGACGTCAAGCAACAACTCCCCGACGCATATTCCGCCCTCGATCCACGAGGGTCGGACGTACAACGATAGCAGCACACTAGATGCCCCGACCTCTTCACATCTGACCACCACCATGAACGGCAGTTCGACACCGTCTCCGGGAATTCCCTCGCCGACCTCCCCCGGCGGGCACTATGGCCAGCAACCGATGCTGGCCTCGCGGTCATACTCGCAACCGACGCCCGGTAGCGGGAATCGCACCACCATCCACGACTCGGATGTCACCATTAACTCCACCACCACCAACACCACCACCACCACGATGAGCACACCCGCTAGTCTCCCCTCCCGTCCGGCTCCGTCGCCCGCTACACGGTCAGACCCAGCACCCCCAGCACCCCCGGCGCCAAGCCGCTCGGACTCGCGCGCCGGCGAGGCGCCCAGCGTGGAGATCTTCAAATCCTTCCGGGTCTCCTTTGACGATCCGTGCCAGAAGGTGCTCCCCGCCGCGCTGAAGAAGTACAACATCAACGCCGACTGGCGCGACTACGCGCTGTACATTGTCCACGGGGACCAGGAGCGCTGTCTCGGCCTGGACGAGCGGCCGCTCGTCGTCTTCAAGCAGCTGGAAAAGGAAGGCCGCAAGCCCATGTTCATGCTCCGAAGGCAGATCCACTCCGTCGACAGCGGCGGGCCCGTCGGCAGCGGCGGCAGTGTGGGTCTGGGTGTCAGCGGCGGTGGTACAGCGTACAGCTCGACAGGGCCCGGCTCTGCGCCTGGCTCTGCCTCGTTTGAGAACGGCGGGCGATCCGCGCAGATCAACCTGCCCGGTGGTGTTTTATAGTCCTTTCTTTCTTCCTCTCTTTCTTCCTTTCTTTCTTTCTCTCTCTGTCTGTCTCTTTTTACCATCCCATCAGCAAGTGTATAGGATGCCCCCCCCCCAAGATCCCATAGCGAAAAGTCCCCTTCTGAGATACCCTGGTGACTCGAGCAAGGTGTTAGGAATATACCATACAGTAAAGATATGCATAGCAAGAGTATACAAATAGTCAAGTCTTATGTCTACAAGTAGAGAAGCAAAGAAAAAAAAAAAAAAAAAAAAAAAAAAAAAAAAAAGGTTAACTGTGGTATCAGCGAGACGCTATGCATCATAACAGCTATATCTATCCAAGCAATTCTGCACAAAATACAGTTTTTTTTTTTTTTTTCTTCAAGAAGTTGCCATCAATCAATCAATCAATCAATCGTCTCGTCCGCTCTCTCCACCCCATGAAATCCTCGGCCGGTGCCGCCGATAACTCTGCTGTCCATCAGTCTCACTTCGATGCACCGTCCCAGCCGTGGTCCGGCTCTCGGAGGGCCGCGGCCCATCCGCAAATTGTACTTTCCCCCGCACGGCGCGGAACCCGTCGTTCTCGCCGTCTTCCTCGCTGTCGTCGCCGGGATTCTCCAATTGGCCCAGCGCGGCGAGACGGCGGCGTCGTTCCGCGGGGGTTTCGCCTGTATCATCATCGTCGTCATCATCATCATGTAGATCCACCCTGATGCGTGGGATAGCACTCATGGGAGGAGGAGGAGGAGGAGGAGGAGGAGGAGGAGAAGAAGGTCCACCACTCTCGCCGGCACGGAGTTGCGAGGGGGGGATCCGTTCCGTACCGTCGTCGTCGGAGTCGTGTTGTAAATGGGATGGAGGAGCTGCAGCTGCTGCAGCAGCAGCTGTAGAAGAGGAAGAGGAAGAAGGAGAAGAAGAAGAAGAATGCTTAGTGGCCATGGCGGCCTGTGATGCTGAACCTAGTTGGCTACGGCGGGCTTGCGCGGCGGAACCTTCGGAAAAGCGGGCGAACGAGGCCGCGACATTGTGGCCGGGAATGTGTTCGTCCGAGGAGGATTCTTCATCGTCGCTGAGATCCGCCACAGATTCATAGTGCGAGTCTTCCTCTTCTTCTTCGTCTTGAGCGTCGTCGTTGAGGAATCTTCTACTAGAGATTCTCTCTCTGCGGACCTGATTGGCCGCCTCCTCCTGCGCGACCTGTTTCACTTCCGCGGGTGCGTCGGTCTGCTCCACGACATCCCGTCGCGCCTTGGGGTCGAGCTGCTGGATCTGCCGGATGAATTCGCGCTTGTTCATGCGCCGGCCCTTGTGGTTGATGCCGCGCTCGGCCACGGTGGCGTTATCCGCCAGCGTGAATCGCAGCCCGTCGTCATCTTCGGTGAGCGCCCGTTGCACCGCGGCTTGCGAGGATTCGCCGCCGTCACCTCCACTGCCACCTTCTTCCTCCATACCGAGCCAGGTGCCCATGCGTGTCAACCCACGGCGGAGGTAGCGATCCGTCGTCCCGGCGGGGGTTTGGTCAGCCTTCTTCTCCGTCGCGGGGATGGTGTATTTCTTGATGACTTCGCCGTCTTCGTCCTCGACGATGATCGTATTACCGAATTGATACGCGTGCGCGGACCGTGTCGAGCGTTTGGCGGTAGTCGCACCGGCAGTGTCAGCAGTAGTAGCACCCCCTGTAGATTCTTTTTCTTGCTTTGGATGTTGTTGTTGTTGTTGCTGCTGCTGCTGCTGCTGACCCCAAACCGCCCATTTACCCAGCTTCTTGCGGATGGTATCACCCGTCAGACCGACCCGGTCCTCAACTGCATGCTTGATCTCTTCGCCCTCGGTCTTCTCGTGAGGATGACTTCGAGATTTGGCAAATTCGCCAGATTGATCCTGCTGAAGGCGCTGGCGCTGTTCCAGGATGTGCTGGCGCTGCTCCTCGGGCGACTCGTGACTGATGTCCTCGGTCTTGAGCACGTTACCTTCTTCATCCTCGATGATCAGGTGGTGACCTTCCTGATACACCTCAATCTGGGGTTCGCGACGGAAGCGTTCGCGCTCCTTGGAGGCTGGGGAGCCGCCAGTGTCGATGCGGTCACGCTCTTCGCTCTCACTCTTGGCCGTGTCCTCGTCCTCCGGGCCACCCTTTTCGAGATCCGATACCGAGGGCTGCCGCGGTTGGGGCATGATGGCCGACTGGCTGATGGGCCCGCCGATGCGGGCGATATCGGGACGCTGCTGCTGCTGGCTCTTCTTCTTACGACGACGGCGCAGCGGGCGGCGGCTGGAGGCGCGGCTGCTTTGGGGTTCGGCCTCTTCTTCGCGCACACGGCGCAGGAAGTTGCGGGGCACGCCGATGGGGGGCAGGGTGCCCGGGGGATACTCGGGGAGCTTCTCGTGGGAGGAGGAATCGAGGGCGAGGTCGTCGGCGTCGGGTTTGCGGAGGGACATGGAGCCCTTGGCGATGGACTGGACGCGGGGCAGGCGGTTCATCCACGAGGGGCCGTCCTCGTTGGCGGTGGTGTAGGAGAGGGAGATGGTGAGGGTGTTGATGCGCTTGCCGAGGGTGAAGACGGCGATGGAGGAGCCGTGGACGAGGATGGAGGAGATGACCATGAAGGTGGTGATGGGCCAGATGAGGCGGATGATGTAGTAGTTGGTCTGGCCCGGGGCGGTGGGCAGGTCGCTCTGGGGGAGGGGCTCGGTGCCGTTGTTCTCGAGCTCGGCGCGGGCGAGGATGGCGGCGAAGATGGCGCCGACGCCGATGGGGCCGAAGTGGCCGGCGAAGAGGGCCTCGCGCCAGGTCTTGATATCCGGGATGAAGGGTTTCATCAGCAGCATGATGGGGATGCGGCGAAAGAAGATGACGAGGAGGGCGATGACGACGAGGCGCCAGGGAACCAGGCCGAGGGCCGGGTCGTTGTAGTTCTGCCAGGGGATGATGGAGCCAAAGTAAACAAAGTAGGCCAGGTTGAGCAAGAGGTCGATGACGTTGGAGACGTGGGACTCCTCGGTCTTTTCGGTGAACCAACCGTCGTTGCTGAAGCCGACGCCGGCGGCGAAGCCGATGAGGAGGTCGTCCATGCCGAGCAGACTGCCCGAGCCGGCGCAGAAGAGGGCGAGGACGAAGTAGAAGACGAGGAAGCTCTCGCGGTCGATGAGCTGCTTGCGCTCGGCGAACTTGATGGCGTGGCGGGCCAAGTAGCCGATGAGAAAGCCGTAGACGGCGCCGAAGATGCATTCGTAGAGGATGGTGACGCAGAACCAGTTGAGGGTGACGGTGCCGGCGTCGGGGCGGTAGCGGTAGATGTAGAAGGCGAGATAGATGAAGGGGAAGGCCATGCCGTCATTGCAGCCGGACTCGGCGGAGAGGACGTCACGGAGATGTTTGGGGACGCGCTTGGCGAACTTGCCTTTACCGACAACGGAGGAGGCCAGGACGGGGTCGGTGGCCGTGACGCAGGCGGCGCAGACGAGACTCTCGAGCCAGGAGAGCGGGGGCACCATCCACCAGATGAAGAGACTGGTGGCCAGCCAGCCCCAGGTCATGACGGGGACGAGCAAGAGGAAGACGGACTTCCAATGGCGTTCCATGTAGGCCTTGGGCAATTCGACGCCGACAGCGAAACACTGGACGACGAGGACGATGCGCGAGCACTCGAGGGTGATCTTGTCGACATTGCCCCAGGACAGCGGGTTGAACAGGTTGGCGGCATGGGGACCGAAGATGATGCCGCACAGGGTGGCGACCGTCGCTTCGCCAATGTACAGCTTCTCCTTGACAAAGAGCGAGCATAACATGAACAGCGAGGTGAACCCCCCTAGGATTATGTAGGCCACATGTGGCTTATCGACGTCCAGATGGCTCCACGCCATTTTCTCTTCTTCTTCTTCTGCTTCTTCTTCAACCTTTTAACCTAGTCCGATGCATCCGCATATCTTGAGACTTGAGAAAAAAGGATAGAAAAAAGAGGGAAGAAGAGAAGAGGAAAGACTGGCGAACGGAGAGAAGATTCGGACCGCCGAAGTCTTGGCTGAGGGGACGTAGTGGAGGGCGGAGGCCGGGCGGAGTGGAGATTCGATCAGGGCCAGAATAGAAGAGGAAAAAACCGGAGAGGAGGGAGAAAGCGAGGAGAAGAGAAGAGGAGGAGGAGATTGAATAAGAAGAAAAGAAGAAAAAAAAATAAAAAAAAAAAAGAGGGTATCAGATTGGGTCTGGGATAAGAAGAAGAAGATTATGATGTTGACTTCGCACGAGAAGAAGAAGTACCAAGAGGTAAACAAAACCCAGGCACACTCTCGACTGCTGGGTACTTTGTACCTCGACTGAACGATTATGATTATTGTGCAGTGTGTACTCTGTCGTAATAAAGCGATGTAGGGCCGTCTATCCGTGTACGAATCGGTGGCTTAGGCGTCATTATTCTTGGCTGTGGGAAGTGGAGATGATCAGCCTAAACTGCCGCCTATTATGGTCAGCTCAACTAGATAGTGATCCAGACTCTGTACTACATACCCACATGGAATCAATAGATGCTGCTGTACTTACAGGGTCTCGCGTGTAAAGAGCGTGGAAGAAGCGTGGTTGAGCTGCTGTGAGACGCTGTGAGACGCTGGGAGACGCTGGGAGACGCTGGGAGAGAATCTTGGGAGACGTTGAGAGACGCTGGAGGAAGTCTTGGTTGGTGGTTCCTTCCCTGTTGGTGAGACTTTGGCCAGTTCCACTGCGTATCCGCCACCCACGTGATCTCGGAGCGGATTTAACCTATCAAGTAAGAACGGGTTATCGGACTTGCCGAGAATAGTTAGACATATTACATACACTCCGTACTATGAATACGGAGTTATTTATGAGAGGTATCTAGGTAGAAAGAAGTACTTTGTATTCTGTACTACCAGTAGACAATAGATACTACTAATATTCCTCTACTATCAATTATTACTAATTACTACAAGTAGAGTATCAACTAGTAGACAATGATAGACAAGGATCAATAAAATGGCGGATTGTTATACCGTCACTATAGAAGTATGTAGTATAGGTATTAGACGTGTCAAGACTCCCCATGGGGTACAGGTACAGGTACTGTGCATACCTAGTAGGTACTTAGTAGTAGGTACTCTGTAATTACTACTAGGTAGTTACCTAGGTACCTAGTTATCTGACTGGTTATAACCAAGTTACTATACTTACTTACTCGTACTTGCTATTGCTAGATATATCATCAATCGCTAGACTATACTACAGCAGACGCTGACTACAAGAACACAATGAACACAACAAACACAATGAACCAAAAGCAAAAAGCAAAAGAAAGCAAAACAAGGAACAGAAAAAAAAAAGAAAAAAAAAAGAAAAAAAAAAAAAAAGGTCTCCACCAATGCGTCCCAACATGCGCAGTAATGCAGTCCATGCAATCCCCGAGACAGTCGGTAATAGTCCCCGAAGGAATCCCATCGCATGCGGCGCATCTTCAAAAAGGAACTGTAGTACGACTACTCCGTATGTAAGAGGTTCAGACAGAAGAGCCTGAACCTACTATAGGAAGAGGAGTGCTACTCCCCCATCGGCATGCCTTCCACCTCTTCGCTGAGCGATCGCCAATTGTCCGCCTGCAGCTCCGAATATTTGACCCGCTCCTGGCTCCAGTCCTGGTGCAGCCGACTGATGTGGTACTGGCTCTGCTGGAAATGCAGCAGCTCGTCCCGGATGCACTCTTTGATGAACACGCCGCGAGTATGTTGCTGCACAATCGACTCGTTGTCCTAGAACGGTTAGAATAGGGATGGCATACTGAATAGAGGAGGAAAAAAAGAAAAAAAAAAAAAAAAGAGAGGGGATACTTTAAAAATAGCATCTTCGAGCTTCTCCATCTCGCCAGGCTTGGCCGTTCCCTGCGGTCGCGCACGCAGATCCTCCAACTTGGTCTTGTTGCTCTCGATCCGCCGCTCCAGCTGCGGGATGTTGTGTCGCGCGTACCGGTCCCGCCGGTCAAACAGCTCGCGCATGCTGACCAGACAGTCGCGTTGGCGCTTGAGGTCCTCCAGCACCCCGTCATGCCACGCCCGCGCCTCGTCCTCCAGCAGGCTCTGGCTCGTCGACAGGTGCCGTGCCGTCGCGTGGATCCCCTCGTTCAGCAGCGCGATGTCGTTCGTGTCCACCGCGTACGTGCTCGGTGTCACCGTCGTGAGCGACTGCAGCGCCAGCGAGAACCGCAGGTGGTCCGCCGCCAATCCTTCGTTGCGCTTCGCCAACCGCTCCAGCAGCGTGCATAGGTTGATATAGATCTCCGCCGATCGCTTCACCCCGCTCCGTACCGTGTCAAACGTCTCCGTCAGGTCACCGGGGAGCGAGTCCTCCAGGTCGGGTGGCAGTGCCCGCCCGCTGAACTCATCTTGCACCGAAATCGTCGCCTGTTTACGCCACACAGAGAGTTCCTACAGAATTAGAACAGCAAGAAGAAGAAGAAGAAGAAGAATAAACATACCGTCGGCACGGTCAAGAACATGACCACTAGCTGCTCCTGGCTAAGCACAGGATGGCGCACCAGAGCATTGACAAACCGGACAAGGCCGCGACGGCGTTTCTCGAGAAAAGACGTGGAATCCGCTGAAAGGTGAGTGCCATTGACTTTCATACATCAGAGTAAGCCTTTAGTAGCTTGGCTTTTTTTTTTTTTTTTTGTTTTTCTCCTTGGGTATTATGGCTAGGGATGGAAAAAAAAAAAAGACGTACCTGCAACTCGCTTCGGGGGCAGCAACGGCAGCTGTCGGAAGGGAAACCGTTTCTGCAGGCAGTCGAGCAGCCAGACGAAATCACTGTAGCGACGCACAACGGTGCTGCCGCGCCGCGCCGATTTCACTTCGTAGTTGCGGTGCTGGAACATGAACATCCCTTCTTTCTCCGGGAGCAGCGTCACCGTCACCACCTCTTCCACCTGCGGTCCCACGGCCCGGATGATGCCCAGCGGCCGCGCCTGAAAGCCCGCCGCCGGTTGCTCCTCCTCGGCGGGTGGTCCAAACCCCGTCGCCGGTCCGAACCCAGCTGCAGAAGACGCCGCAGCTGCTGCAGCAGCAGGGGAGGAAGACGGGTTATAACTCCCCCATCCAGATCCCACGCTGCTGGGGACCCCTCCAGCCTCCGCGCGGCTGTCGATATACTCTCCGTCTCCGTCTCCGTTATATGTGTTGGTTAAGGTCGCCTCGTCATCCGACTTGATGGTAATGCCCTGGTTCTTCTTGGCGATGGTGTTGGTGTGGCTGTTCCATGCATTTGTGGCCGATCGCGTAGTCCCATACCCGTTCAGTGCCGGCTGCGCCGCGTTGTCTTGCTCCTGCTGCGTATGACTATGGCCGCGATGCAACTGCGGACTTCCCCACGGATCTTGCTCGAATCCCCCCAAGGAATCCCGTCTGGACCGCTGGGAGCGAACCGAGGCAGGCTCTTGTACTGGAGCCACCGGAGGTGTGGCTGGCCGCTGGTTCTCGCCCCCTTCTTTCAATCGATCAATATATGTAGATTTCGGCTCGGGAAGTTCTTTGTAGTCAGAATTAACATCTCTTTGATATAATTTCTTTGCATATATATATATATATATATATATATACTCACTTCTGCGATGGTCATCGACTGCGTCCAAGGTAAGCTCCTCATCCTGCTGCGCCAGTCCGATCAACGCCAGCAAGACGTTAAACTCGCCGCGACCCAACCCCCCCGTATTATTAGTCGGAACCACCAGATCCAGGATCTTTGCTTGGTCCGCCGCGCTGATCCCGCTTCCCGATAACACCTCCTTGATGGAGGTCAGACCAATGCCCGGCCCGACGCGGTCCCCGGAGTTGAGGATCGCGTCGTAGGCGTCGATGTAGCTCTCCGGCACCTGCGAAGCCGGCAGCAGGGTCTTGACCAGCTCGTGTCGCGCAGCCTTCTTCACCGTCCCGTTTCCAGTCCATGGCGAGTGGTGATCGTCGCCGCCGTGGTGGTTGTCATCATCGTCGTCCGCGAAGAGCGACGAGCTCGGGTTCGGATCGTCGGCGAAAAGCGACAATTTGCTCTTCTGTCCAGACTGAGTCATCCCGGACTCGTCGGGCGAAGTCCCAAACAGGGACATGGCGCTTCGATTCCGGCGAATTCGATGTGTGTCGGCAGCGAGAGAGAGGCTGGGCAGAGGATGACGGGGGGCTTGAGCCTTGGATGGCGATGGGGCCACGGGTGGAGAGGGCGATAGGGAGGGGGAAGAAACATACAGATACCACCATCAACGGACCAACAGGGCTAGAGAGAGAGAGAGAGAGAGAGAGATACACGCCCACAAGAAGAAATCAAATTGATTTTCCTGGGGCTTTGTCGTCCTGCCAGCAGCGATGAAGGGAGGTGGATTCGAGCGACGCTGCGATAAGCTGCTCCGCCTAGCGTCATATATTGGAGGGCGGTCAACCTTTGTTATTTATTGATTACATGATTTATGTTAGGGAATTATATTGAATCTCATTCAGAAGATGGTGTTCCTAGCCGGCTTAGATCGAGTAATTATAGTAGTAAGTCATTAGTCTATACCCCCAGTCACAGCTCGCCATGAGACGCTTCAGAGGTATCGTCACCCAGTCCATTGCTCGATTCCGGGATCGGGGCCACGGTGAAGTGGCCCAGCTGGACCAGTACCTCCTGCCAGACGTGGCCGCCCGTGGCCAGGATCTGGGCCGGGTTCGCGTCCGTAGGGAACCATCGTTCCTTGCGCGTAAAAGCCTTGTCGCCTCCCTCTAGGGCAGCCCGGCTGGCGCGTGTCTTCCGCATCCGCTTGGTCCCTGCGGAGCCCTGGGAGAGCAGGCCGCTGAGCTGCAGTCGATACTGCTCTAGGCGAAGATCAAAGGCCATGATGGAGCGGATATAGGGTGCCAAGTCTTCACAGAGTGCCGTCATGCCGCTGGCAAAGGACGGGACGATGCGCCCCGCTGGAAGAGGGCCGAGATGGTCGGCGTGCGCCAACGGCTCCAGGGCGTTCAGAAAGTCTGCCTTTGACCGATCTACGGACTGAGACATGGCAGCCTTCATGAGAACCCGTGCGGCGTGTGGCTCTTCGCGGTCGTCGTCGGTTCGAGGATGTCGGAAGGCTGTACTGATCAATCCACCAAACGCCGTGCTGATGGATACCGCCGTCTGAGAGTAGTCCGGCTGGAGATCCGTATGGAGTAATGTGTATCCCTCGACAAAGTTGGCCTTGTAGCCCTCCTTCAGCGGAGGGGCTGAGAAATCGACCGCATCCTTGATATTTATCGTTAGCTTGAGGTAAATAAAGCAAAGAGTCGATTCATTCTGAATTTACCTTGTTCTGTTCCAGAGAGCAGCGCGAACCAAGAATGTCCAAGTCACTTCGAAGATCTGCATGGAGCAATTCATCAGATAGGACGTCAAGTCGTTCTAGGGGCGATTTCGCCTGGAAATATCTTGATTGCATGGATGCTTCCCGCTCCCTCGAGGGTGCCAGCAATTCCGAGTCCTGTACGCTGAGCTGCCACAGACGAAGAGAATCCTGGATGTACTCCTCTTCACCTTCGAAAGCCGCCGCCCCGAGCGTGATATCACGATTGAACCATCCCATGAACCGTTGGTACGTACGCAAGCTGATCGCACGGAGAGGGTCGCCATGTTGATCCACGTCAGAGCCGCGAGGCCACCGATCAACGATCCAGTCTAGTCCGGATTTCTGACTGCCAACGCCTATTTGGCACCAATAGTTCAGATCCATCATTGATTTTCGGAAATCACGGTTTGAGCCACTATACAGCTCACGAACCGCGTCTCGTGTGAGCATATGACCCTCATGTGCAGCGACAAGAAGCAAACAGTCGATCGCCAAGTCGGCAGGAGGGGGCCGGAATCGCAGGATTGCGTGGAACGAGATGTCTTCCAAAGGAATGAGACTCTCGTCGTTGCAGGTAATGATAATCGGCCGTCGCGATTGAGTGACGAGGCCCAGAATACATGACCAGAACTGTCGGTCTTCGTCGAAGAGAATGTCTGCCTCTTCAAACAGGATCAGGGACTGCTTCTGACTGCGAGACTTCTTTGGATCATTTTCAGGTTCTGGGTTCTTGCGACCCATTTTCGATTTGAAGAAGCCCGTCATCTTGTCCTGTTTCTCTAGCTGCTGACTGTTGACCGTGTCGTCAAATGGATTCGCGTGATGCACGAGATGATTTTGGGTCATATCCCCCACACGCTCTAGGATATCTTTTGCGCTTCGCCGGCTTCCCGGGTTGATCTCAAAGACCTCAAAATCCAATTCTTTGGCTGCTGCGTAAACAGACGCCGTTTTGCCGCATCCAGACGGACCACTCAGCAATATCGTATTACACACACGGCCTTTGTCGGCTGTGCCTGCGCTGATGGAGACGTCTCCAGACCGGACGACAGTCCTTTTCAGCGAAACGGTGACGCCACCGGCCAGCTCGTCTTCCTCGGGGTCATCAACTTCATCCATCTCCGAGTTCTCTTCATCACTGTTAACAATGAACCCATCCAGTTTATCGCTCTTCTTACGGCGCTTGGACCGTTTCCCACCATCCACCTTTGACTTGGCCTTATCGCCATCTGTGGCGGGTTTACCTCTATCGACAGCCGAGATCGTGAGATGGCTCAGCCAGTCTCGCAACATCAGTGCCTCCGGGCCAGTTTGGAGAACCTCGGCTGCAGTGCTTGGTGCATATTTTTGTATCCACAAGGACGATTCGAACTCGCCGCGGTCAAAAGCACTCAGCGAGGTGTCCAAAGAGCACTCCAGTTTTCTGATAGCTGCGTGCTTCTTCTTCGGTAGTACAGCCTCTGTTGTATAAAGATTCGAAGTAGCCTCTGATAGCTGCTGGCGCAGTGCTTGGCATAGGACCCGTCCGCTGGCGACATGTCTTTGGGGTATCCGCAGGACTTGAGAGACAGTATCGGGCGAAGTCGATGACAGCCTCAGAAACCTTGTTTTACCCAGACGGGATAATAACACATTCTCCTTATCGTCTACCTGGACAACGGCCACTTTTGCTTTCTTCTGATCAACCTCGAGAGGATCAAATGCAGCAAACACCGGTTGTCTGGTTTCGTCCTCGACATTTGTGAGTTCCTTCGGTGGCCAAAGAGCTTCGACGGGTTCAGGAAAACGAGGGCGTGGTCTGAACGAGCTGAAAGGGCTTGATTTAGCAATCGGCTGAGACGACGTCGAATCCTGATCGGTGGGGCGAGACGAATCACGTTGAGTAACGAGTTCTGAGGCTGGCTTATCAAGGGTTTTCTTGATGAAAAATGGATGCGTTGCCTTGACCGGCGGTTGTTTCTCTGCGGACACAGGCACACAGCTTGGTTTGGAAACAACATGTCTCTGTCGTCCATGGAGGATATCGTCGATCAACTTGCCCCGGTCTTCCGCGCTGCTATTGTACTTCAAAACCACCAACTTTTTCTCGCCAGCAGATTTCCCAGTGGCAGGTCTACCACGTTTGCCTGTTTTCTTCTGTGCCTTGTCTCCCCCCACTTTCTTCGAAACGGGCGAGCTCAACAGTTTTCCGTTCGGGTTGAGTTTCAGAGTCCTTTGTTCTGGCGGCTTTGTCTCAGACGGAGCGTCCCCGGCAAACATCATTAGGTCTTCTTGTTCTGATGGCTCGTGGAACATGTCAATCAATGGAGTGCCATGCCCCTGCAACTCTCCACCAGCGGTCTCCGTCTTCCTCCTCTTCCTCCGGTCCGAATTTGGGTCATCTTCGAATGGCGCAGTGTATTCCACGTCCGGTAAAGCAATATTCGGTAGACCTATTCAACGCACGTACTTAGCATAATTCTTTTCGTGTCCATTGGCTTGGCTACTCACCCTCTAAGTGAGTGGAAGCATCCCTGGTATCGGCTGAAATAGCGGGCTGTGGCGGCTGGTTATATGACACAGGATAATCTATTCAGTGTCAGAACTCTGTCAAATCATTGACGCCATTGACAGCCATACCCTTTCCGAAGAACGGGAAGAGCGTTCGTTGTTCCCCATGTCCCATGGCCATCACTTGCAGTGCGAGAATCCATACGACGAGCACTGCTCATCGCCTGGCTGAATCCGGTCACAGCACGCAACGTACATGCAAGGATCCACGCAGCCTAATCGGACGCTCGGTAGACAGCCAGACGGGTTGTCGTAGTCCCTGGAGATATGAGGTCGTCGTCGTCGAGAAAGCCCGGATAGGAAGTCATTAATTCCCGACGCGAACACGCGTTCCGCGGCGGTAAATACGTCATTACGATACGAGAGGAAAGTGACGACTAACCGCCTTCGGACTAGTGGGACCGGGTCGGAACAACCCAGTCCCGTGATTTTTTCGGGATGGAATAATTTATCGTCAGGAACGATTTTGTTGCCAGAAGCAGAAGCTGCAACAAGTTTCGCTCGCCATCGCCGCCGTCATGGATCTGCAAACGCCGTCTGTGCTGGCCCAGCTGCCTCGCCCGCTGCATGCATCTGCAGGCCAGACCCAGATTGGCGAGGTGTTCAGTCTGGCGGACTCGAAGAAGCGCAAGAGATACGAGGTGGTCGTGGCCGTGGACGGAGAGGCCGTGAACATTTACAATGTGGGTGGCTTCTCATCTATGGGGAGAAGGGACAGAAAGACTGACGATGCTCTTGCAGGTTCAAACTCCGAAACTGGTCACGTCATATGCGGTGCCTCCTCAGTCGGCGTTTTCGTGTCGACCTTGCTCCGTGCGCAGGAAATTGACACAGAAAGCCTCCGTCAAGAGACAGACTTACAGCGCGGTAGAACGACCTGAACGGCAGATCAAGTGTTTTTTTGAAGAGACTAGTGGCCGTGGAACCAGTGCGCCGGTGTTGTCGTCGTCTTCCTTCTCCGTGAAGGACTCGGACAGCCCGGCGATCTTTGTTGGCATTGTGCCGACGGGCGTCAGCGACGAGGAGGAGACCGAGGAGCCCTTCGACGTTCTTGCTGTCCACAAGGACGGCCGCGTGCGGAGGCTGGCTGCCGATCTCCAGAACCAACGGTGGAATCTCCAGCACAGTGAGATGGCCAAGATCTCGTCAACCCACGAGGTGCATTCCTGCTTCCTGGTTGACTTTGACGACCTGAAGAAGTCTCTTTTCCGGAGACGCCAGGATCTTGCGGCTCTGGCTTTGAGCGATGCTATGGCCTCCGGGTCCAGCGAGCCCTCGATCTTGCTGATGGTGTCGCATCCGAGCGGGACTGACCCCATCTCGCTGAAGGACGTGCACGTACACATCTTCGCGGTCTCGGCTGCGATTGAGCCCAGCGGATTCAGCGCGGATGAGGATCGGAAGCTGAGACATTTGCTCACAGTCGATTTGCCCGAGCTCGAGGGCCAGATGGCAGTGGAGCGAAAGAATCTGCAATGGAGCTTCCACTCCGGGTCGGCCGGCCTGAGCCTGTCATTTGAGCGCGGGTTCATCAGCTTTGATCTGTCGCAGTACGCACCCACTGTGGCCTCGCAGTTTATCCTTGAAGAGGAGAGGTTCCTGTCAATCATGCGTATCTCTCCCCAGTGTGTGATCGGCGCCGGAAAGTCGCTCGTGGCTGTGTATGACACGCAATATCAGTCCATGCAGCGCAGCATTGGGACCGGGGATATCCTTCCCGGCAGTTCGGCCGCAAAGGGTCCAATGGCGTTTGTCACCTATTTCGCGAAGCTTGGCGTGGCCGTGGCAACACGGGGCAGCACGCTGCTTGCGTTTGATCTCAGCTCCCTACACATTGTGTCTTCTACGGCGCCTTCGCTAAAACGGCCCCGAGATGGCCTCCTGATCGACGCCATCGGGCGAGGCGTCAAGTCGTCTGCCACTCAATGGGGCCCTGTCTCCAAGAAGAACCGGACCGAGCATATGGCCTCGCTGGGTCTGAGATCGTCTGAGCAGGTGGACCAGTGGAACCGGCTGGTTGACGAGCTGACCAAGGCGACGGCCTCCAAGGACACGAGCGCCTTTGACCAAGCGGTGCAGACCTTCTTCGGCACATTCCCGACGCCCGAACAGTTCGTCCACCCGGAGATCCCCCTCTTCGTACTGTCGAAGATTTTTTCTCTGGAGAAGAGCACGACGACCACTACGACAACGGCTTCGGCGTCGGACAAATCCTCAGCGCCGTCCCAGCTCCGCGTGGCGCTTTGGCCTCAACGAACGTGCGCCTGGCTGGTCGACTCCGGGCGCCTCTCGCTCAACAACATCGAGATCGCCCTGCGGCGCACGGTGAAGCCGCGCGTGCTGCCGCCAATCCCGACAGGGTCACTGGTCCGCGCGCTGATCGACCTGGACCCGCAGCAGCAGAAACTGCTGTACATCCTGCAGAGCTCCGCCGTGCTGGCGCCGGCCGATCTTGCGCACGCGCTGAAAGTCATCCTGCAGACCTCGACGCCCGAGGCGACCTTCCTCCCCGCCCTCACGGTGACCCTGCAGCAGCTGCACCGGCACCCGCTGCCCGCCGTGACGGCCGCGCTGCGCGAGAGCCTGTCGCGCGCGGAGCTCATGGCCACGCTGCACCAGCTGCGCATCGCCCTCGCCACGGGCGGCTTCACCTCGCGCTTCACCGAGACGATCCCCGAACTGCCCCCGCTCACAACAAGCAGCACCACCTCGACAGACACAGACCCCCCCACGCCCCCCGCCTCCTCCAATCCGCTAGGCATCACCACCCCGTCCCCGCTCTCTCTCGAGACAATCTCCGACCTCCTCCTCGCCGCCGTGGACGCCATCGGTCCCTCCGGGTGGATCACCGCGTCCGCCGCCACTGAAGCGGGCCTCATCGCCGACATGCGCGCCGAAGTCTCTGCCGCCCTCGCAGGCGTCGAGGAGGCTTCTTACCTCAAGGGGATCCTACGCGAGTACCTCCGCTACTCGACAGATGTGATCAATACTTCTTCCACTGCTGTTGCTACCTCTACCTCTACTTCTACAGCTGTTGCTACTGCTCCGGCCGTTGCTACCAATGTAGACGTCCAGTATGAAAAGCTCAACGGGGCAGACCTCCTCATCTACCCGGACGAAAGCACCACCACGCCAGATGAAAGCAGGATGCTCCCGCTCTCGCTCAAGGCTCCCACGGCCGACGTCGGGCGCACCAAGATCAAAAAGTCGACGGGAGAGGTCAAGAGCCGCTCGAATCGCGAGATCGGATACCTTCGTCGCAAAGCAGGGGGGAAGTATTCCTTTGAGCGGTTGGTTGTATAGTTCATTCAATGCATACATTTCATACATTTCATATTCTATATCTACAATTAAAAAGTAATCTTGGTGAATTGATGGTTGTTGAAACTTTGAAACTTGGCTCTAGACATACATCATTAATCATGCCAGGCAGCATTGTATCGTATTCACATGTACAAAAACAACAATACAGGAGGGG